CAACGGGTGTTAAAAGGGCGGTTTATTTCAATTCCGGGGGGCGGGACCGGGGTTGGGCTCTGAAGGAGAGCCGACAGAAACCGACGCATTGGCAACGCCCACCATGCAGGAGCAGCGGCCCGCGAGCGCCGCGTCCTCTTGCACCTTCCAGCAACTCCAGAGGCACTGCACTCCAGGCTGCTAGGACAGGCGGGACGCCCCAGGATGGGGCAGGGGCAAGTCACTGGGACACGAGGGGCCAAGAGGCGCAGCCCTCTCGTCTCCTGCGACGCAGAAGACCAAGGGGATTCCTCCCCTCCTCCCCGAAAACCAACCAGCTGTTAGGTCATCATCTGTGCATTTTTGTTCCGCATCTGAACGATCTTGCCAAAGCCACCTCTCCCCGCGTCGTAGTCTGTCCGGTACTCATCTCGCACCTGGAAGAAGGGAAACAGACAAGGCAAAGCTCCTGCCTCCACTTCGTGCCAGATCCCTTTCGGGGACCCGGAAACAGCCAGGCCACCCCTACCTGGCCACCCGTCTTTCCGCGGCCAAACTGCCGCCCCTCCGTGAACCCTACGTCCCAGTCCGTCCGAATGACGCGGTCGTCCAGCCGGGTCCCGCTGATGAACCGCATGGCGTGCTCGGCTTCTGCTCTCGTGTAGTATCTGCAGTGGCGCTGTAAGGAAGACTCCCGGGATCATCTGGAGGAGCCCCAGCCGAGGCTGAGGAGCCGGCGATGGACCACCCCAGCCCCACGATCGGCCAGCAACGCGCGTCTCGGCACCACGCACAGCATCGTGTGCGCCAAGGCAGTCGCACCGAGCGGCTCGTCCAGTCCCCACTTGAGGGGCTGCAGCCGGCGGCAGAGTGAAGGCGCTGCACGCAAGACCCACCTCCAGCATCGGGGCGGGGGAGCACTTCTGCCTGAGGCTTGCAGGCAGAAGCTGCTGCCAGCAGGCGGAGCGAGCGCCACTGCCCGAACGGAGCGCCGGGCCGCGCTGGAGAAAGCGCTCCCCGTGCTCCTAGCACCACTCTGTCTCCTCCAAAGCGGCATACGAGCCCGGTGGTCAGCACACGGGCAAGCACGGCTGAAGCAGCAACATGTGCTGCCAGGGCAGAGGCTCCTTCTGTCACCTGCTCGCTGCAGGCACACGGGACCGGGGGAGCCAGGTGCGCCCACATTCTGTCCCCCGTTTGGCATCGCCCAGAACTGCTGCGCTACAGTCCAAAAGGCCGCTGCCTGGGCCATCACTTGCCACCACAAACACCAGCCAAAGATACTCCACAAAGCAAAAGCCACAGGGGGTTTTCTTCACATTGTCCAGCCCCATGACAATGCGTTTGATATCCCCACACTTGGAGAAGAGCTCGTGGATTTGCTCCTCTGTGGTGTAGAAGGACAAATTGCCCACGTAGAGTGTGCAGGAGTTCTTCAAGGCTTTCTCCTGGAGGTGTCGCCCCCCCTGGGAAAAGGAGAGAAAAAAGAGCATCCAAATATTCACAGACTCACAGGATAGGAGAGCTGGAAGGAGCCAGAAGACCACCAGGCCCAAGCCCCGGCTCAGTGCAGGGCTCCCAGTTAAACCATTCATGCTTCCACTACTGGGCACCAAGAGCTGTTCAGCACTGCTCAGACCAGAAAGGCCAACGTCGGCCATAGTCAAGGCGTAAACTGCGGGCCCCGGCCCGGCCCGGCCCCGCCTGGCCCCCCCAGGCCCCGGGCGCTCCCCGCCCGCCAGAGCCCCCCTTCGGCCCACGAGGAGGCGCCCCCTCGAGCGCGTGGGCAGAGCGCGTCCCTCCCGAGCGCCCCAGGGAGCGAGGGCGAGGGGGCCTCTCCGCATGCGCAGAAAGCTCCCCACCTGGAATTTCTGGTCGCGATAGTCGCTAAAGTCGCAGTACGAGTCCCTGTCGAGGCGCCTCAGCACCGTACTCAGGATCCCCGACATCTTCGGCGCGCGCCGATGACGTCGACGCCCTCGCCTTTTACAGCCACTCGAAGCAGCCTGGCAGAGCCTATTGGCTTCCGTACTTGCCACTCAGAGCCCAGGCCCCGCCCCCGAGCACCCCGAGGTTCTCATTGGGCGCTCTGATAAACGTCTCCATGACACGACCAATCGCTGGCCCGTCTCCGGAGAGGGGCGGGACGTTTTGCTGCTGAGGATGCTGGGAAGTGTAGTACTGCGTGGGCGCCTCGCCCGCCTGAGCGGCCTTTTGACGAGGGCCTGAGCCTGGGCCTGAGCTTGGGCGCTTCCTCTCGTTGCCAGGCGGGCTGCCTCGCGCCTCCGAAGCAGGTGGACGGAGGCTGGAGTCGTGCGGGAGGGAGTCGAGAGCAGGCCGGGTGCCTGGCGCGCGGCTTTCCTGAGGCCTCGCCCTGAAGCGCTCCCGGTCCCAAGCGGGAATTTCTCTCCCGTTCCCAGAAACGAGCCCCAGGCGGCGGCGTGAGGAGGGGCCGCCGCAGTTTTTTCGTTTTGCAGCCTGCCTTTTTTCTTTCCCTTTCTTAAAGAACCCAGAACGGCTCGCATCATTCTCCTCCACCTGCCCTCAGTCTTGTCTTATCCCCACAACAGCCCTGTGAGGTAGGCTGGGCTGAGGCTGTGACAGGCCCAAAGTCACAGCCATAGAGCCTCAGCGGGCTCCATGGCTGAGCAGAGCCCAGAACCTGGATCACCTGAGCCTGGCCTGTGCTCTGAATCACTACACCAGACTAGTTTAGGCTACGATAGAAGTGTAAATAATAATAGTAACGATTGCATTAAACAAAGCTCCCAGCTTTAAGCATGTATCTGAACCTTTTTTATTCTGGCTTTTGCCCATGAAGCCCTCCCACCCAGTTTGAATCACTTTAAAACTCAAGGGTGAAGGTATTCTGCACATGCTCAGAAGTATTCCGGCTGCTTAGGTTCCTTTCCAGTATGGTGGATTGTTCCAAGTTCTCAGCTTCAGCCAAGGAGATGTTTCTTAAAATCCCAGCTCAGCCATGATGTTCACTGGACAATACTGATGGTGTAATAGTTAGAATAATGAATCAGACCAAGCTGGTCAGGGATAGCCTAATCTACCTAACAGAGCTGCTATGAGGATAAAATGGGTTGTGGAAAAAGCATGCATACAAGTAGAGAAGCTCAGAGGCCAAAGGCTCTGAAGCAAGGTGCAAAGGGAGGTTTAGTGCAGAGAAAAGGGAGCCAAAAGAATGCCTTGGTGGTGGAGAGAAAGGTATAGGTGGAAAGACACTTGGCTTAAACTAACCAGACATTCATTAAAAAAAAAAAAAAAAAGACAGCAAGCTTCTAGGACAGGATCCAGTACAATCCTGCCATTAAAGTAAAGATGCTCGTCAGAAATTGCTGCTACCCCAACACAGGAAGTGTTACACCGGATGTTGCCTCTAGTTATTTTGGGTCATGGATATGTCATGCAGCTGGTAGTGATGCAGTAAGAACTTTGTAGAGAAGTTTAACTGGGGCATATAAGCTAGACCAACCTATGTAAAATAAATGCTTCCTTTTATTTATTTTGTTTATAGATTGGAGAGTTTGGGTGGAGAAAACCCATCATGGAAATAAAAGGTATCGTACCGTGTTTGCATATCCAGCAACTTGACCCCAGAAGTACTCTGTGCTAGTTCCCTTCCCTAAATGCCATTCTGGTGATTCCATCAGTGGATTGTACCTGAGATGCTGAGTTTCCACCCATACCGGTGTTGTAGTCTGAATCCCATAGCTGCTATTTTTATTTTCTTTGCAGTGACTCAGAACTATGGTTGTTAAGCAAAAAGAATTTTCATGTAGGCTATGGAACAGAGTAGGCAGCTCCAGATCTGAGTGCGCGTGAGACTTGAGTGGGATGCCCTGTACCCTCATGCTCACCTGGTTCCCCTTTGCCACCTCCACTGCTGCCCAGAAGGTGAGGGCAAGGGAAATGGATGCAGCCGCCCCCTGTCTTTTTCCTCACCTCTGCTTCCACACTCAGAGCAAGGGAACAGGCAGCAGGGAGGGAGAGGCAGGGCACCAGCGCATTCAACACTGGGTCCGCTACTGAGGTGTGGGCCTCCGCGGGAGTCCAGCTCACACTGTCCCCGGACAGACGTTCCATATAGGAGACCTTGGGTTTAGCGCCTCTTAGAAGGACCCCCCTTGTTGTCTGCAGTTTCTTCTTCTTTGTTCTTCTAAGCAGTGCCCGGCCAGGCTGCTGCACTCCCACTGAGTGTCGCACCGTGGGAACGGCCACTCGTGCCATGGAGGGTTGCATGTTATAAAAGTGTCCCTGGAAGTGAGCAGAAATGCTTGCTGCTGCATCAGGGTAGGTTAGTGGAGCTTTTTCCTGTAAGATTCCTAAAAGGATTGTGTCATCGTGCTCTCCTTTCTTGTTTGGATGTGGTCAGTCCTAACCCAGTCACATCACTCACTCGTCTCCCTCCTTTACTCCCCACTCCTTGCCCTTCTGAAAGTTGCCAACATTTAAAGGAACACACACGACTCTTTAAATCAGAGAGTAAAAAGCAACTATGGGTTACTTTTAGAAAGGTAAAATCTTTGTTGCGCTTGCGGTCCCTCCTGCTGGCACATGGGCATAATAGGGCACTGTCCATTGCAGATACGACACAATTCAGCTGCTGGAGAGATAAGGATAAATACACGCTGACTGGCTTGCCCTGTATCTATTTTAATTTCTTTTGTTTAATTTCAGGGCTTATTGAGGAACTGATGAATGGGGAGACCTTATCCGATGTCTCAGAAGTCACTGAGAAGTTATTTAGTGCGATAGAAAATGTGAACACAGAAAGTGGGAGTCAGAAGGTTGAGGTACAGCTGAAAACACATGTTAAGGAGAAGGCTGGGAGTTCAGAAGCATGACCCATCCAAAAATCTGCTTGAAGAGTTTGGTTTTGAATATAGGGTGTTTCAAAACACTTTTTTAGAGTTGTTATCCCATCACAGTCATGGACTTTTCCTGGTAATAGGGCACAGATTATGCCATCATCGTCTCAATCATAACATGTTTTTCCACTGTGATCGCTGCCTTTACCACAGATAATCTGTAAGGGGGAAAAAGATGGAATAGATCAGGGGTCCTCAAACTTTTGAAACGGGGCCAGTTCAGTGTCCCTCAGACTGTTGGGGGCCCGGCCTATAGTTTGAAAAAAATATGAGCAAATTCCTACGCACACTGCACATTAAAAATTAATTAAAATTTAATTAAAATTTAAAAAATAATTAAAAATGTTTGCTCCACTCGCTTGGGCTGCAGCAGAAGCCCAAGATGAGGTGGAGAAGAGCATGTCCATATTCAAGGGACATAGCTACAATGTCCACGATCGTGCTGGGGTGGGGAGACAGGCGCAATCGTGGGTGGGCTTGTGCAGCGAAGGTGGGCATGATCACGGCCATCTCCCACCCACGAGCACGATTGTGCAGGGAAGATAGGCGTGATTGCAGGTGCGCTCATGCAGGGAAGGTGGACACGATTGCAGGCGCGCTCATGCAGGGAAAGCGGGCGTGATCACAGCCATCTCCCCCCCCAGCACGATCGCGGCCATCTCCCGACTGCCAAACACCACCGCGATCACACCCATCTTCTCTGCCTGAGCGTGACCACAGTCGCGGCCATCTTCCCACTGTGTACGCATGTGCCAGGTCAGAGCTTTTGGAGTCACTTGAAGATTGGTTTCTCTGAGTGAGTCCAAAACCTCTGAGGCGGGCCGGATAAATGGGCATGGTGGGCGGATGCGGCCTGCGGGCCGTAGTTTGAGGACCCATGGAATAGATGCATAAAGGCTTCCCAGTGAAAGCACCAGGAGCCTCAAGCTGTCAGCACCCAGGTCCATGAACCATTGGTGTTCATATCTATTTATTTAAATATTTAATACCCTACCCTGCAGTTTAATTCCCAGGGTGCCTTAAAATGAGTAATTAAAATTATTTATAAACCACAACTGTGATTAAAAACCTTAAGATAGGAGAGGACACGTAAACAGTACTAAAACAGGTCTAAAATATAGAATGCCTGGGTAAACATATGCATTTCCTTGCCTAGTGTCAGAAGGATGTAAGAGGCTGCACCAAGCAATGAGGATACTGCGTCCTGGGGAAGCCCCAGAAGTGAAAAGGCCTTTTCCCAGATTGCGATGATCTAACCTCGGGAGGCAGAGGTTCTAGGATTTAAGGATGGTCTTCTTGACCCTTTGAGTTTCTGGCAGACGTAAATGTGTGTGTATCCATGTTGTGCACTGTGCATGAGAGAAGACTGCAAATTGCTAGTGGCTGAAAAGACATCTTGATGAGATGACGTATGTTCATAGGTGACAGTAACAATAATGGACCGTGGTAATAAAGGAAGACCATATGGTCTGTTCTCTTCTTACCCAGTGACACAATCGGTCTGCATCTTAGCAAGGAGAAGGACAAAGTGCTGTGCCTACTACCAACAGGCATCCATTCCTCCCTTTCCCATACTTTTCTCCAAGAGGGTTGAAATGATGCCCTGTGATGAAGTTAAATAAGTTATAACTTCGGTAACTGCACTGTTTTTTTCTTTTGAACAGGCTGAGTGACTTGTGTATATTTTGAGAGATTTCACCCCCCCCCCCCCCGCTTTTTATGTAGATTGAAGAAAGTGCAGTCAACTTATGGAACTGGACTGTAGCAAGAAAAACAGGCCCTGCTATCAGTGATGTGCAAAGAGTTAAGTGTACGTTTTCCTTTTCTGCCATAAACTAGTTTGTGAAAAGAAGCATGCTTTTGGTTTTGTTTTTCAATTTGCATAAGCTGCCATGGATCATCATACCTGTTACAGAGGAGTTGAGGCTTGCTGGCGCTCTGTAAGCATGTGATTGGCTCAGGCGTCCATCTTGCTCACAAAGCTGTGGCGGCAGAGCCTCAGCTGATGGAGCTCTGCCAGGAATGCGCATAATGTCTGGGTGGCTGCAGAGGGGCCCAGGGCTTGCATTCGCGTCTCCTGCGCCAAGTAAAGCAAGGAGTTCCCATGAGCTTCCTCCCAAAATGCCCAGAGCCCCTGCTTAGTAGTGTTGGTGATGATGGGCAGCTTGCGCTTGCTCTGCCTCGCAATGGCGTGTTTCCAAAATTGCCATGAATGGGCAGGGACTTGGCGCGCGACGATCGGTGCCGAAGACGTGCTTACTGTCCCCTTTCAGTGCGCCATGCCGCCTGCAAACTGATGGTGACTTGTGACGCCAGTAACCCATCTGAGGACGTGCTACGACGGCAGATTTTGGTAATTGTAATTAGACCCTTTTTGTGCTTGGTTTCTCCTTCTCCAGTGCTAGAAATTAAAAAGGCTCTAGAACTTAGTTGCTGTTAGTCGCGAAGTCCCGTCCGACCCATCACGACCCCATGGACAACACTCCTCCAGGCCCTCCTGTCCTCCACCATCCCCCGGAGTCCACTCAGGCTCACACCCACTGCCCCAGTGGCCCCATCCAGCCACCTCATCCTCTGCCGCCCCCTTCTTCTTTTGCCATCAGTTGGGCCCTGCATCAGGCTCTTTTCCAGGGAGTCCTTCCTTCTCATTAGGTGGCCAAAGTATTTGAGTCTCATCTTCACTATCTGGCCTTCTAAAGAGCAGTCAGGGTTGATCCCCTCTAGGACTGACTGGTTTGATCGCCTTGCGGTCCAGGGGACTCGCAGGAGTCTCCTCCAGCACCACAATTCAAAGGCCTCAGTCCTTTGGCGCTCAGCATTCCTTATGGTCCAGCTTTCACAGCCATACATTGCAACTGGGAAAACCATAGCCTTGACTATACACACTTTAGAATAACATTTTTAATTATACTGGCATATATTAATATATGCTGCATATTAAATGGGAAGGAAGAGCGGTCTTGGCCTTATTCTGCATGGAGGGAAGTATTTAAAGGATTTTAAATTTGTGTAAGGAAAAACATATATAAGGTAGATTAAAAGCTATAAACTTTTAATCAAATATTTAATTTTAGAGATTAAAAACTGTTCTAAACAGAACCTGTTTTGCAGATTTTGATCATGTTATTAGGGCCTAATTTGACATAATGATCCCAGTTTTAATAACATGATTAATAAATCATGATTATTAAACAGCTTTATTAAGCCAGCAATGACCCTTGTGCTGTCTCACAGCCCTTTCGCTCTCTGTGCACTAGCTTTAATACTTCTATCATGCTTTGTTCAAATAAGTTTCTAATTACACTCAAACTGAGACACTCTTATTTATTTCCTGCAAACTAGAATATGAAACCAAAATCTATTTTCTTAGTTTTTGTTCCTGGTTAGTAAGCAGTCCTGGTTAGTAAGTAGCTTCCTATTTCAGACATAACTGGAAACTGGTTTAAACAATCTTAATAGAAGTACCAAACCCAGTTTAGGAGGGGTGGAGTGATAAGGGGTTGTGGGCATGATGCTGGCTCTCAGCTCTTTAAACCATAGTCCGCTAAGGACCTTTGAATATATCCAGTAGCTTGCATGACTCCATGCTAGTGAATGTCTATGTTTTGTTTAAACACACACACTCGCACGCAACTTTTATGATTCAGATGGCTATGAAGACTGGAAGAGGTTGGCTGGACGTTGGAAACGCTACCCTTGCTGATGAACTTCTTGAGGTTGCCATGAAGGTAAGGTGGTCCATCTTGCCCAAGGATGTTTGGACTGAGTGCTGTAGATGACCAGCTGCTTTTAAAGTTGTTTTCTTGCTTTGTTCTGCAGAGTGTGGAGAGGCTGTATGCCCAGCTGGCCAAGAGGAGCACGAGTGAGGCTGACACGCATTCACACAAAGCTGATGTGGAGAAGGACGTGTTCAGGGTTCTCTCCTATCAAGCTGAATCTGTATGTGGGCGCAGAATAAGCGCCAGTCACTGTCATTAGAGCAGTGTAATGGTCCTGGCCCACATTCCTGTTGTCCGGATGATGTGGCTCCCTAAATTTAATGCACAGGACCAACTTCCTTCCCATATTTCTACAAGCATAGCATACTTTCCATGTGAACATGCTTCCAATGCAGATTTGATTTGCCAGAATTTTAAATGTCAATTTAAACTTGGCTGACACAGCAAGCTAGCCAATCATTGGCTTGTCCCATTGTTTCTCAGGCAGTCATTCAAGGGTCTTTTCAGAAAGCCACTGCATGTGTTCAGCGGTGCAAAGACATCCTGATGAGGCTGCCGAGAGAGGTGAGCCACACGAGGGTGCCTCTGAAGCGTCTGAAATGCACGCTGAGTCTGCCTCAGCCCAGAGATGCCTCGCTGAATTATGCACCGGGCCTCCTCGGGGCCTCCCTCCCTCACTCCTGAAGTGCAGTTGTGCAAGCACGTGATACGAACCCCTCTTCCTCCATTGCAGACCTGCTACCTTTCCCTCCTGTGCTACAACTTCGGTGTGGAAACCTATGAACTGAAGAGACATGAGCAGAGCTGCTTCTGGCTCAGGTACTGGCGCAGAGAAGGCAGCACCTTCACGGGCCTTTCCCTTCCTGACGGGCCTCAGACAGGATACCAGAGGCAGTCAGACGTGCTCGTGGTAGCTGCGTTCCCCAACAAGCGCCACCTGAAGGGGGTGGCTTGGCACCATCTAGTGGTTGAAAGTTCTCTCCAGTTGCGGAAGAACTATTCTGGTGGGGCTGTCCTGTCCCTTGGAACACTGAATCACTGCTGAGAATTATAGAATGGTGGAGTTGGAAGGCGCCACGAAGGCCACGCATCCAACCCCATTGCTGCAGGACACCAGTTTACACCAACCCACTCAGATGACAGTCCAGTTTCACCTTGAAGGTCTCTAGTACAGGAGAGCCCATGACCTCTCCAGGCAACTGGTTCCACTGGTGTATTGCTGTGACAGTGAGGAAGCTTTTCCTGATCTCTAGCCTGAATTTGAGTTGTCGCCACTTGAGCTGATTATTCTGTGTCCTGCACTCTGGTATCAGCAAGAAGAGATCTTGACCTTCCTCTTTGTGATAGCCTTTCAGGTACTTACAGAGTGATGTTATGTCCTCCCTCAGTCTTCCCTTCTCAAGGCTGAACATGCCCAGTTTCTTCAGTCTCTCCTCATCGGGCAGTGTTTCCAAACCCTGGATCATTTTTGTTGCTCTTCTCTGCACCTTTTCTAGCTTCTCTGCATCTTTCTTAAATTTAGGTGGCCCAAACTGGACCCAGTACTCCAGGTGAGATCTGACTAGAGCTGAGTGCACTAGTATTTCCTGTGCTTTGGAGGTGATGCTTCTGTTAAGGCATCCCAAAATAGCGTTTGTCCTTCCTGCAGCAGCAGCAGCATATTGTTGGCTCGTCCTGAGCTTGTGACCTGCAGCGACCCCGAGATCCTCCTCCTTTGCCGTCTTGTTGAGCCAAGTGTCCCCCGTCTTGCGGTGGTGCATTGGGCGTCTTGTTCCTCAGTGGAGGGCTCGGCACTTGTCCCTGTTGAATTTCACTCTGCAGTTCTCTGCTCGGCGTTCCGACCTATCAGGATCGCCCTGTATCATGCCAGCGCCTTCCACGTATTTGCTATTCCACCCAGCTTCGTATTATCTGCAGACTTGATTATCTTTCCTTGTACTTCCTCATCTAAATCGTTAATACAAATGTTGAAGAGTGCCAGTCCCAGGACGTAACCCTGTGGCACCCCGCTGGTCACCTCTCCGCAGTCTGAGAAGGTGCCACTGATGGGCACTCTTTATTTTGGATCCACCTAATAGTTTTTCTGTCCAGTCCACTTTTCCTAGTTTGTTTATCAGGATGTCATGGAAAGCTTTGCCAAAGCTGAGGTTGATTAAGTCCACAGTGTTTCAGCTGTCTGTATGGGAGGTTACGCAGTCTGACAGGACTTATTCCTGAGAAATCCATTCTGGCTTTTATTAATCACTGCATTTTCTTTGAGGTGCTTGCAGATTGATTTTTTAGAAGAGTACTTTCTGAGCAGACTTGCAGCTTCAAGCCCATCACTCTGTGCAAGTTCACAAGTTTTCTGTTTCAAGCCATACTACAGTGCTTTCATGTGAACTCACGCTGGTGTCCTAGGCTGCATTTTCAAACAACAAGCTTGTGTAAGATTTCTGAGGTAGAGCAGAATGGAGGAGACAGGTCTGTCCCTGTGGCCCGCACAGCCATGTCCATGACCAAGAGATCTTCACTTACTCTTGGTTGAGAGCACTGGTAAATCTCTAGCTGGTTATTATGGAAGTTCATTATTTTCACAGCCTGTGATGAATGTAATAGCCACAGCGGAATGTCTCATTGTGGAATGCTGTATGCAGAACAGTAGCCGCAACGAAGCGGGTGCTGTGAAGGGGCAGGTGGTGCAGCGATTCTTACATACCGTGGGGATCATTTCTCTGAAATGCAGCTTTAGGATGCAAGGATTTAACTGGCTCAGTCAGGCCTCCCCTCTCCCTTGAATGATTTTGGACATTTTTTCTTCTCTGCCACAGCCAGAGCTACGAAATTGGGAAGATGGATAAGAAATATTCAACTGGAAAAGAAATGCAGGTGAGAAATCTGTCCAAACCACTCGCAAGCCGAAGGAAGAGCCCCCTTCATGATTAGAACTGGTTCATACGTGGACTTGGAGGTGTCTTCCAATGCAATGATTCATTTCTGCGTCAAACCTTTGCGTTTTAAATATCTGTTTAATTCAATTTGTAGGCTAAAGTGCTGCGATTATTAGCTACAGTCTACCTGGAGTGGGACCTTGAACAGTATCAAGACAGAGCTCTCAGGGCTATCAACATGGCCAATGAGGTGATGGCACTTAAAACTGAACACAGTGAACTTGTGGGGTTTCTTGCGTTTCAGCCACATGGACCAGATTCATTCCGAGCTCTGCAGCCAGTGGTGTTACTCTAGAAGCAGCATCTTCGGAGAGGGCCTGGAACGTCAAGCCTGCGGGCCAAATCTGGCCCGGCTGGGTTCAGCCAGACCCTGCAGGGCTGCTCTGCTGCTGCTCGCTCTTGCCCTTTGCGCATCACTGGTCATTTGGCTGCTCCCATGGTTTTGCGAGTTGTTTTTATCCCAAAAGTCTGAAGTGCCTCTTATAAGATTGAGTTACCGGCACTTGGAGTTTTAAGCTAAAGCACGCGGGTCCTCCAGGCAGTCCGGCCCTTCTCCTGTGCCTCCAGCCACACCTGCCGCTGCAGCACTTCCCTGAAGCAGAGCGCAGCCCTTGGGCTTGGAGAGATTTGCCACCCCAAGGCTATCGGCAAACAAGGGCTTAACTTTCCCTGGAAACCTCTGACAGATCCAGCCTCGGCCTTGTGTAAAGTCCCCCTTGGCCGAATAAGTAGCTGCCCAACCCAAGCAAGTGGCCTTGCGGCAGCAGAGGGCTGGAGAAGGGGTGCTGGCTCGTGCCTGCCCTCCCCCGAGCGGCCTGTGCCGTGCTCCTGAAAATGGGGAGCCGAAGAATCCTTGCACGGGCACGAAGGGCTTCCATGCTTGGCATTCTTGCAGACAGTATGGGAATTTGCTCAGTGCAGTGCAGCCACAGGTCTGGCTCTCGGGCAAGACAGAGGATGTTGGGAACGTGTTTCCCATGTTCCTGCTGCGATTGTCAGGCAAAAGGGAGGGCATTTTTCTTGTGCCCCCTCTGCTGGGAGTGGGAGGCTTCCTTCCTTTCCCGTTACTTCTTGGTTGATCCATCTGGATTGTCATAATGCCATAAGGCTGAGACTTGTTTGCTGATTTTTGTTACACGAGAGCAGCTGATGCGAAGGATAGAGCAGAGAACAGGGGACTCCTCCAATCCATCACTGTGACCCTAGGCACGACAGCAGATTATTTTCCTGGGGCTGCACTGCTGCCTGAAAGGAGGCTAGGACACAAGAGGAAACGTGATTGCAGGCTTCCCTCCACCTCCCTCCTTGTCAGAGTTCTGGGCAAAAGAAATTAGATTTGTTTGAGGCTCTAGGATAGGAATTTCAAATCAATAACCTGGCAGCACCAGGTGATTGGTTGCTAAGGATGTTTAAATTTATTCTAGAAGATTATTTGGAAGATACATTATGAGGAGTATTGATTAAAAGTTCCTGACATTCCTTCAGAGTTATGAATAGGCTTTGCTCTGACAGCAGCCTGTTAAAAATATCCTGAATCTAGTAAAAATAGTTTGGCTGTCAAAATAATGTCTTGATTTCTTGATTTATAGGAGAATTTGCATCCGGCTGGTTTTTTCTTGAAAATTAAAATTCTCCTGAAAGCTGGTGCACTAGATAAAGATGTTGGCACAGGTAAAACATGTATCCAGGTGCCATTTTGATACATCAGCATCATGTCTCCCCTCACTCACATTTTCTCTGCTCCGAGTGGCCCCAGATGCTATGGCCACTGACGGTCGCGACTCCCCCTTTCAATATCCTTTTTACCTACTATCTCACTTTAGAGAAGCTTCCTCTTTTGAAGTCAAATGTGACCATATTGCACTTCCTTGGCAATTTTCCAATTAAATATATATTAAACCTGATGACATTCCAGTCGTACTTGTGCTCTGTAAGCTCAGCAGTTGGATGTAGTCACCCTCATACTGCACGTCAGTCTTGTCTCGTGGCCCATCACAGTTCATCAGTGCTTTCCAACCTTGTCCATTTGGGCTCTTAGAAATCAAGTTTGAAATGTACTGGATTGCTATAAAATAAGGAGGTTTTTTTGCTGGGGAGGGGATTGAATAAGACAAAATACTTCAAATGCATTTAAGTTGCACACTAATTTTGTGTTACACTCTCTGTCCAGCTGCTGCTGAACTCCTACACCATGGGTTTTCTTTGGATATCTGCCTGGACACAGCAAAACTGCTTCTGGAGTATGAGAGGTACACAGTTTTAGGGGTCTGCATCTGAGCCAGTGGCAGATTCTTCTCAAGCAGAAGAATAACTAAGGAGGACCACTTCGCCTTGGTTTCTTAGGCCCTTCACCAAACTCCGCATCTCTGACCCCAGTTTCAGTAACTGGGGTGAGGTGAGTGCCGAGGATAGGCAAAACCAGGATCGATGCGTCTGCAGAGGTGGTATGCTGGGAAAAAGATACAACTCCTCAAAAGAACTGGTACAGGAGTGTGGGCTAGCTGAGAGTGAAGGAGAGTAAATAGTGATTCAGCCTTTGGCCACATAAATGTTGCAGTGATTTTAGAGGAGGCGATTGGGCAGGTAGACTGACCGTTTTGCCATTGGTGTGACCGGAGCATGAAGTAGTGGGCGAAGGCCGGTGGTCAGGCTCCTGCTGGCAAAGCTCTTAAAGATTTCAGCGTGAGATCTGTGGGGCTGAAATTTTGTCTCTTAACTAAATGTTGTCTCTCCTGGAGAACAGTGTGGCCATGTGGTAGAAATCTAGGTTTTCCTGTTATTGAGATGCGAATTTACGAGCTGTTGGTGAAGGTGATGGTGATAGAAGCGTATACACCGAACCCATTTTCAACCTGCCTTTGTATGCTAAGGGAGGCCACATGCTTCAGCTTCCTGAAGTCAGTTGCTCAGCTCTTTGCAAAATCCCCGGATGTTGGCAAAGTGATTCTCCTTCACATCGAACTCCTATTACAGAGAATGAAGGAACCGCTTGCCAAGACAATGATTGAAAGCATCATTGCAGGTGTGTGTCCTGTTTCCCTTGGGTGATAACGTGGGGCAGGGATCGCAACAAGCTGTGTGAAAATGTGCTTCCGATTGAAATGCTCTGCTGACTGGGCTGCATGCGATTAAGAGCCCAATTGCACGAGCTTAAACCTTGTCAGTATGAGATCCCTTTCAGCTTATTTACTTCCATGCAAGTAACAACGGGGCTTGACTGTGATTGAGCATTTAGCTTCAGAAATGTACATGTGGAAATGTTGGCATGGCTGCATAAGCGTGAGGATTTGCACTCCAGATAGCAGGCTCTGATGGGAAGCTCTTGCAGGCGTGTCTGATTCTGCTCACCAGATTGCAATGGACAGTCATGCACGATGCGGCAGACCTAGAGAATTGGCAAAATGCTGGACATTCTCTCCATAGGGCATAGCACTGGGATGCAGCTGCCACCGGAAATACTGAACCGATTGCACCTGGTTCTGTGGGACAGAGCTGCTAAGAACTATGAGGTTTGGGCCAAGTTTTTGTCAAGTTTTTCCTTTTTTTTTTTAATCATCTGCCTCATATAGTAATGGCAATGCATGCATCAGCTGCGGAAGGCAGTGGTAGCTGGCAGGCTGCTTGCAGTTCTTGGTGGTCCCTTTACACTGTTCCTAACACTTTGGGAGTCTGAGCTTAAAAGGTTTCTTCCCTGGGAGTTGCTGCCAGAGGAAGAGAGCTGGGTGCGTACTAAGAACAGGGCCTTTTCTGCTTGCTTGCTTGCTTGCTTGCTTGCTTGCTTGCTTGCTTGCTTGCTTTGTTTGTTTGTTTGTTTGTTTGTTTGGGATATTTCTGACCCGTCCAATCACTGTGCGTCTCTGGACAGCTTACAGAACAGGTTCAATAAATACAACATTCTAAAAGATCATAAATACCTCAACAAAGATAGAACTAATAACCCACAACTGAAAATAAAAAATAATTAAAATCTTTTAAACATTAACATATTGGGTAATAAAAAGGTCTTGAGACCTGGCGCCAAAAAGCGTGTAATGACGGCGCCAGGCAGACCTCTCTAGGGAGCACGTTCCGTAGCCCGGATGCCCTCTAGCACCCTGATTGTGGAAAGAGCTTCCTGGAGAGGCTGGCCCGTGCCCCTGAGGTGTGCTTTTCGCTTGTGGCCAGGTGAAGACCTAATCTCCCTATGCATTTTAGCCTTGCGGTTTCTGTTTCGGCATTTTAAATCTTTGCCTTGCTACTAGGTGTTTTTTTCCTATTTTATACTAAAGTTTTAAACCATGTATTATGTATTTAAGTTAATTTAGTTGTTGTGAACCTCCCAGAGAGTTTCAGCTATTGGGCAGTGTAGAAATCTTATAAAGAAATTGATAAAAACAGATGCAGATAGGTTTAGCAAAAATGCATCATCATGAAATGAAAACAGAAGCAACTTTTCTGAATAGTGTATTAAAGTAAATGCAAAATCTCCACCAGTGGTCATTGGATATTTCTCATCTTCATGGTAGGTGAGTGATCATATCTGTGGCTCTGCTTATGATATGCTAAATGTGTCATTTCTGAAGCTTTCCTACCGGCTTCCAGGTCACAGTGACCTGCAATTCTTAGCATTCAAAGAGCCAACAGCATAGTTTGCCTTATCAGAGATGACACATTTTTGGTCCTGCCTCCTGGCCTGGGGAAAGACCTGCCTTGTAAAACCATATATAGGTTCAGAATGAATGAACAGCTTGGAACAAGGGCAAACAGGTTAAGACATGACTATTATTTTCCAGGCAAAAAACTATTCAGAAACCCTTCAGTGGTACAGGTACTCCCTCAGCTTCTACTCATCTGGGCAGACAGACTGCCAAAATCTGGCCAAGCTGCACAGGAACATGGCTGCCTGCTATCTGCACTTGAAAGAATTTGACAAGGTAGTTCTTGTGTGTGCTTCTCCCACCTCTGGTGATTTTGCTGTTTCTTTGGAAATCTACTTCTGTTTAAAGTTTCCTGAGCTGTTTGGGAGGGAAAGTTTCTTTTTGAAAGCATTGTGTCAATTGCCCAGTAAGGAAAACTGTTCCTCTTCAATGTGGGGAGACAAAAAGATTCCCTAGTCAGAACCAAATTTCCTTGCATTTGGGTTGTTTAAAAAGTTACATCAATCAGTATAAAAATACACTTTCTCCCAGAGTATATTCTCATGGTTCCTGAGAATATAAGCTCAAGCTATAAATCTTGATAAACTCAAGCTACAAATCTGTCTCTTGCAGAAGTTTATGTTGCAACATTTCCTTAACTTTAGACCCTAATGGAGCATCTCATCTCATCTCAACTATTTCCACCAGTTTTGCTTTGCTTGTCTCAGAAAACTTCTTTCTGGAGCACTTCTGTGGTGGCGTGAAGCAGTGGCTGCACGGCCAAGTCCCTAGGAAGTGAGGCTGCTGGCACAGCCTTTGCAGTATTGCTGCAGAGGACTGTGGGTACTTTAAGACCACGCTGTTCACCTCCTCTTCTTCCCGAAAGCCCTTGGCGTGACGCTCCTGCTCCACATACTTTCATATTTCAGCAGTATTGTTGCTGCTCTGTGCCCAGAAAGCATGATACTTAATGGGATGCCTTTAAACACATTTAATAAACAAACCAATGTGCCATCGAGCCAACCCCAACTTACGGCAGCCCCATGAACGAAAGCCCTCCAGCATGTCCCATCCACGATACGCCTGCCTAGCGGTCCTGAATTCAAGGCTGTGGCTTCCTTGGTGGAGTCCATCCACCTCAGATTTGGGCTTCCCTGTCTTCTTCTGCCGTCACCTTTCCCTAGCATGACTGTCTTCTGCAAGGAGTCCTGCCTTCTGGAGAAGACAGTGAAGCGTCTGAAGTACGCCCGCACCAATTTTGCCATTTTTGCTGCAAGGGAAGGCTCTCGCTTGCCTCAATTTAGGCCCCACTCGTTTGTCTTTCTGTCAGTCCAAGGCATTCTCAAAGCTCTCCTCTGGCACCATGTTTTGAATGCATAGATTTTTTCCCTGTCAGCTTTCTTTGCTGTCCAGCTTTCACACCCATGCATAGTGATCGGGAATACGCTAGCGTGGATGATCTTGGCCTTGGTCTCCAGTGAGGCATCCTTTACACTTGATTATCCTTTCTAGCTCCTTCATTGCTGCTCTTCCAGGCCCGTCTTCTTTGAATTTCACAGAATCCTAGAGCACGAGAGTTGGAAGGGGCCAGAAGGCCACGAGGTCCCACCCCTTCTATTGCAGGACACCACATCATACCACCCCACTGAATTTCTTGGCTTCGGCACTAATCCTGATAAATCCCTCTCTCTACAGGCAAAGGAGGCAGTGAAGGAGGCAGAGAGACATAACTCAAATGGCACCTTCACTCAATTCTATGTGTATAAAATAGCAGTCCTGGAGAACAATACCCAGAAAGGTAAAACAGTCTGCGATTAAAGAGTCTGTCACTTGCACTGCTTTGTCTCTGAGCTTCTAATTTGGAGGGGAAGGAGGAAGTGGGCATTAAGTCTTCTTGCTTTTGGTCCAAGTATCTTCTGAGAATGTATGGACAAAAGCCTCGGGAATTTAAGGTCCGTTGCCCCCTTTCCTACACTAAATGTTGCATTAGCCTTTCTCTTCAGCCACGCACATGTTCATGGTTTTTCACAGCTGTTTGCAGGCGTAATAAATATGCTTCCTACAGGGAACAGTCTGATAGGCAAACCTTCAGGTTAGAGCGAACCTGTCAGCAGGCGAGATGACAAAGGGGCTGCTGGTGATTTCAGGCTGTGGGTTTCTTGAGTGTTGGGGATGCATCTGGCAATGCAGGGAGCTTCCATTCCTGCGCTTGGAGAGGGGTGCGGCCCTGGACTGGGGCGTAGGATCAGAATGGTTGCTCCCACTTGCCCGATTGCCATTATTACTGTCATCATACCAGGGCTAATCGCGGTTATCAGAGCGTGCGCAACACAGGTGCCTTTCCGTTACACCACTGCTATTTGGTCCTCCACTTGGAACCAGAGCAGGGTGTTTTTAGGTTCCACTTAAGCCACATGGTCACACATTAAAACCTTCGAGTTTGTTTGTATGATCAAACACGGGAGTTTCTGATTTTGAGCGAAAGGTTAGCTTCTTGGGTTTTGGAAAAATGCAGGACCCTGAAGCACACCTGAGCAAGGCCGGTGGGGAGCATGGCCCACACAGAGCCAAAATCTCTGCCCTCGCAGGAAGGGTGGGGTTGGCCAGTCAGACTGCTCTCCACTGAGGACACCTCTCGTCTCTGGAAAATCGGCCGGAGGGTTAAGGAGTCGCGTCTGGTATTCGGGCAGGGGCGCTGGCCTGAATGTTTTCTTTCCCGGCTGCCTTTTAGCTTCTGACGCACTCATTGCGATGGAGGAATCCGCCGCACAGTCGAGTCAGTGCGAAGACAGGCAGCTGACGGACAGAGCCGTGGCCACCAGCCTCATGGGCTTAGCCGCGCAGTTTGCCCTGGAGGTACACATCATGTGTGCGTGCGCGCGTGCGTGCGCGTGAGGATAGAAATGTGTGTCGCTTTCTCCCTGTCCCTTCCGTTGGAGATGGGCTCGCAGGTGCAGTGGCGCCATCGGTGCTGCAGGGCAGAAGCATCCTCACCCGGACAGGAGTGGGTGACTCTGTGCTCCTGCTCTGCTCAGACTGGAGGTGCAAACTCCTCCGTCCTCATCAGCCACTTTGCCAAGGATCATCGGACTGGATACTTTGGTCTGTTGCAGCAACAAGTGCACAGAGCCCCTCTCTCTCTCTCTCTCTCTCTCTCTCTCTCTCTCTCTCTCTCTCTCTCACACACACACACACACACACACACACACACACACACACACACACTGCAGGGATCCTAAACAGTTGAGGTCAGAGAGAGAGAAGAAATGGAGAGCGTGCAGGTAGCAATTCGCATTCTCTCGTAAGCGTGCTTGAACTGGCAGGCATTCTGTCCTGCCAAAATCTTTACCTTGCGTAGCGTCCCACTTGTGTGTATCCCTCATGCAGTGTGTTTGTGTGTCGTGAGGTGACGTACTTTCTGACAGCAATTCTTTTCATATCTCATTCTTCAGGAAGCCAAGCTTTTTAAAAGTCCCAGGCTTTTACATACAGCTGCTTAGAAACTCACCAAAGTCTGTGTCTTCCTGGGATATCAAGATATTTGAATTTAGGAAAGTGCATGAGCATAGCTTTTAACATGTTAAAACTAATTAGCCATTATTGCTGCTTTCACAAAAAGATAATTCAATTAAAAAGTTTAAATGGGGTTATTTCCAGCTTCTGTTGTTGCTTGTGTTCTTGCTGCACTGCTCAGCAGAGAGGCACCCCGGAACAGCTTACATAAGACCAGTAAAAACAAGGCTCCCCACAGGCTTCTGGTCTGAAAGGCTCATCACAAAGGGGAAAGGGCTGAGGAGACCGGGCGATGGAAGCTCCAGTTCCTAAGGACATGCTGCGGCAATTACAGTGGTCAGCTGGAATGGAAACTGTGGGAGGGAGGGCTCTTCACAGCATCATCAAAAGTGTTGATTTTGCACCAAGCCAATAAGCGTTCCTGCTGTAAGTTTATACTGGGGCTCTATGTTCTTTGTGTTTTAATGGAATGAGTCTTTCCCTCAGAACGATCAACAGCCTGTGGCCATTAAAGCGTTGGGGTATTTATCTCAGCACTTGCAAGACTGCCAGCAAGCATTGGCAGCCCTAAAGTGAGTAGCAGAAATAAGGACAGAGCGGCTACTAACCACCGCGACTGAGGCCATTAAGCGCTCTGCGGGATTGGCTATAATGGCGTGGGATGTTTATGCGTTGCCCAAACGCGGGGGCCCCAGTCCGGGGCTGCCACGCCAAGAGCTCCCTGAGCCGCGGCTTGCGTCTGGGCAGACACTGGGTTCTCGGGACTCTCCTGCACTCCCTTCTCATGCCCAGTGCAACCCCCGCTGCTGCTGCTCCTGATCTGGTCCGGGGCGGGCTGGCGCAGTCGAGGAGGGCTCAGTCTCTCGAGCTGCTGAAGCTGCCAAGCAGAAGGGGCAGAGAGGATGATGGGCTGTGATTCCTTGTCCCAACAGATGCTTGATCCGGCTTGTGTTGTCCAAAGCGGCAGGGGAATCTAAAGAGGAAGTGTGAGTTGCACTGCAGACGGCTGTTAACGTTAGCTCTGTGTGAGTGGCGGGTGGGGGCGGTCAGGAGGCCAGCTTGCGCTGAGACAAGGGGCAGGCATCTCCAGATACTGCTTAGCCTAAAACGCCGCCATATTTGGGCAGGTCAGATTTTGCTTTGTACATAGACTCAGAGCAGGTGGGGTTGGCATACTCAGTATTGCCTTTCTCGCTTCTCATCTGCCTGGAGAGGGCATTGTTGTGAAGAGGTGGCCATATAATTGTAGCATATTTTATAACTGCCTTTCAAAAACTGTGGCAAAACAACTTTGCGAGAATATAGGTTTTCTCACTGTGATGTGCAGGGCTGCTCAATTATTTCCCCGTTTTATTTTAGTACTGAGGATATGAAGATGCTTCTGACATACTTGACTGCAGGTACTGTGCAGCATCTTTCCTGTACTTCTTCTTCTCCTAGTAAGTGGAGAGTACCAGGGGCTAGTGGAAAGGGGCATGTATGACACCTCAGGCGCATAACAGGTGCTCACCTAGCTTATCTTGAAACACCTCAGGAAGGTTTGGCAAAGTGTGTAGCGCGCTCTCCATCTTATTCCTGCTCCAGCTCGCCATAGACTTGAAAAGCTGTTCAGAGAGGGGAATGAAACCCTGGAAGCGAGAGCGAATGAAGCTCAGTGGTTCAGGAAGATAGGTAAGTGGTCGTTGCTTCCACTTAGAGGAGGGACTGAACGTTTCCCTTGCTTTATGAATGGTGTTCAGTCCAAAACAAAGCTGGGCTGGCAAGTTTATGAGCTAGGGAAGGGAGGATCAGGGGCCCTGTATCAGTCATGCATTCAAGCTTTTTTCTGTGAAAAGAAGTATCAGCCAAGAGGCAAAGAATCCCCTCTAGAGACAAACATTTCCCCATGGTAACAGGATACATTTAAGGGGACTGCAGTCTGATTGCCCAAAGAAGGAAGTGTAATCGGCCTCATCAGGCAATGAGCGTAGGAGCAAAAGTATTACTTGCATAAAATGGTGTGGCTTTTAAAACACGTTTAAGGTGTGCGGGCTGTTGCTTTTGCTCCTCAGTTGCTAACGGCAAATGGTGGCCATGACCACCTTGTGACAGAAGCATTTATACTGCATAAGAGGCAAGGCAGTGGCGGAAGCATAACTGCGTGGACGGGAAAACCACCAGGAGGCTGTGTGACAACCGGCACAGCAGGGGGGTCCCTGCTGCGGTTCGGAATGTTGCCTTGCACACTTTCCGTTGACAACATGGCAGGCTATCGAAGCACCATTTTGACTCCTGGCGCCTGGTGTGTGTTGTTTGTGTATGTGCCTCCTACTCAAATACCTTCCTTAAATATTTAAGCATCGCTTACGCTTTTATGTCATTGCATTTTCTGGTTCAAGTTGTCATGAGCTGCCTGGGGAGTTCCAGCTGCAGGGCAGGATAGAAATGGTAGAAATAAGGTCAGTACGGACCGTGTCAGGAGAAGCAATTCCATAGACCAGGCAGGGCTGCAGTTTTCATCCATGTCTTTTTTCTCGTTTGCATTCTGAGCTTGGAATTTGGCCGTCCAGTGTGAGAGCTGCCCGAGCACCAGGAGAGACCTCTTTGTCCGGTCGCTTGAGGTGCGTGTCTTTGCCACCGTTCTCTGTGATTTCCACTAAGTTCTACTCATCCGCTGCATTCAGGGGGAAACCTGCATCTGTTTGGATGGCCAGGGACCGGTGGAGCAAGCCGTCCCCATTGGCGATGTGGTTAGCTGGCGCGTCACAGGATGTGCATGCCCCCAGCGATGCCCTGCTGACAAAGGCCTGCGTGGGTTGTTATGTGTGTCCGTATGTACTGCATGTGCGGGCTGCCCTATAGCCCAGGGTTCTCTGGGCAGCTCACAGCACAGGGTTGGAGCAGCTTTTAGCAACCTGGGTGAAAATCCGGTTATTGTGCTCTGTTGCAGTGCATCCCCCTCTGTCATACGATCTCAGGGGGTGGGCAGTATTTGGGGAGAGCAGCCTGACTACTTAGCAAACCAGCAGCCACAGCAAATCCTGCTTGAAGAGTGGTTGCACGTCCTGCCAAAGCCAGGAGATGAGACTGGCTTGACAGTTTTCAGAGCAGGGGCCGTGCCGGTTGCGAACGTGGCTCTCAGCATGCTGTTCAGAGAGGACTCTGCATGGCAGAAGGGTCTGCTGAAGCAGACGGAGGTGCTTTTTGCCCAGGTACACGAGAACGGGTCAGGCTCATTTCAGTTTTACTCAGGACAGACACGATCACTGGCTGCAACCTTTCAGGCAGGTGAATGTGGCAGGAAGTGCCCTGATGGGCGCAGGTGTGCCACTCAGGTATCTGCAGCCCAGAGCTCCCACCGCTCCTGTTAGATCAGGTCTCTCAGCGCCTTGGCAGGCCAGGAGGGCGGGACATGGAGAGGCGGGACAGCCCGGGGTCTGCGAGTGCTGGAGGGAGACGTGGGGAGTGGGACTGGGCTCACCACTGGCCGTTCCAAAGGAGGGGAGGGGAACCCCCGTCCCCGTGACTGTCGTCTGTCCCCTGTGCCGAGGAGTGGCAGCCATTACCCACCGCTCGCTTTCCCTGTCAGTTCTCCCAGTTTTGTCCTCCCGATAAAGCTGTCCAGCTTGCCCAGAGAACATGCCTGCTCATGGCTGCCGCGATCGAGCTCGACATGGGACGGAGCGCCGTGTCACCTGCTGACCAGGTGAAGTTGCCGCAGTGGGAAATTTAGGGTGCTTGCACCTTTGTGTAACTCACCAGATCTTAGGGTTCTACTCAATGTGGTTTGAGTCTTTGCTGCACTTCCAGTCACACACGTGGATTTCAAACGAAAGTGAGACTCCTGTTTGAGTAACTCTGCCCCAGCTCGACTGCACCCACAGATAGCTGGGCTTCCTCCCGGCCCTTCGCACGTTGCAGTGTGAGGCCAGTGCCCTTCCTGTGCTTTGGCATTAGCTGGGTTCTTCGACTTGCACTTCAGCAAATCAGGGACCTGATTGAGCACGAAATAGGGGGGTTTTCTTCTCCAGCCAGCAAACACTGCATGGATCTTGCACACTGACTTTTGTAAACTGTGTGTCCATTTGCAAAGCAGACCAAGTTGCTGGTTCAAGCCCTTGAACATGTCCAGTCGTGCAGGGAGATCTGGAAGGGTTTGAAGCAAACAGGTGAGCTGGAACTTTCCCAACCCCAAGTATTACTGCTATGCATAGATCTGCCCAAGGAATATTGAAGTACAAGAGCCCTTTGTGCCTTACTAGAGGTGGGAAGGGTATCTTTCACTGGGATACAGAAGGCCCGGGAGGAGGAAGCCTCCATCTGGGACTGGATCAAGTTGTAGCTCGTGTCTGAAAGGCTCTTGGATTCACAGCCTGGGCCCACGTGCATCAGCCTGCATGGGATTTACCCCGGAGTCAGCATGCAGAGGATTGCAAGTAAATAGATTACCTGCACTTGCTGCTTGCAACCATGAACCACGTGGGAGAGGGTGGGAGAGCAGGAAAACTGCGCCTGGCTTGGCCCAGAGATGGTGCGAAGAGGCCCGAGAGGACCTGGGAAGCTCAAGGTGCAGCCCTGGGTTGGTCTGCTCCAAAATGCCCCCTCTGGCTGAGAGCCTGTGAGGATGGGGCGCAAGCCTGCTTCAGGCAGGAGGCAGGTTTGTACCCCACCCTGCCATGGAGGCACATGCCCCCCTGAACCTGCACGCAATGGCCGGAGAAGGATTTGGGGGCGTTCTCTGCTCCCCGTGGTTTTCTCCTGGCACGCTCCCTGCAAGCACAGGTCTCTTCCCAGAGAGGCAGCCGGTGTGGCTCTTTCTGCACCAGCTGTGAAGGCAGGCGGGCAAGCAGGCCGGGGGTCTGCTGTCAGGGCCGGAGCACCACGGCCAGGCAGACGCCAGAGGGTCCTCCGCCTGGCCCCAGACAGCGCTGCAACTGTGTCTTAGTGCGCTCCCAGCTGCCTTTCGTGGCTGCCTCTGCCCTGGGATTTGAGTGCAGATGGAGACACTCGTCTGGAAGTTGCAGCCTATTCTGGATTTAGAGAAGTGCCGTGTATTGTAATTGAGGCAGACAAGGCAGTAGCGCATTCTGCAGAGCAAAAGAAATCAGGTTAAGATTATAATCAAATGACACATCGTGTGGCTGGACCCACGGAGGCTGCCGCTGCCATGGCAATCCCTGAGGCAGCCGGACCAGGTGTGCTGATGGAGGGGCTGCGCAGGGGAGATTTGCGAGGGAGCGGCTGTGACGGAGGGAAAGCTTGCCAGGGTCAGAGCTGCATGAGCAAGGGAGTAAAGCCTTTGTACTCTCCGTGGAGTGGGAGTTGCACAAGGTGCATTTCGATGCGCAGCCTTGACTTTTGAGCTTTAAATGGGTGTGTCAACAGTATTCCACATTCAGAAAAGCAAATCCCCTCGTGTCGAATTCCCCTGTAGCTGTGCATTTGTTCTGTCCAGATGTGGGAAATCTTTCCCTCCAAGCCAACTATGTTGCCCAATTTGGTAGGCCAGCTACAGCGTGGCCCTCTTTCTTCTCTGTAGGCGAGTTCCCCAGAGACCCAACAGACGCGCTTCTGCTGCTTTACGAATTTGAGGCAAGAGCCAAGCTGAACGACACAGCTGTGGCCAGCCTGCTGGACCAGGTGTGGGAGCTGCCCCAGCTGGAGAGCAAGACCCTGGAAACCCTTGCATGTAAGGAATGCAGGCGGGCCTGCACCCGCCCCCATGAGGCCCTCTTGCCTCCAGGGCAGGCTCCTTTGATCAGGTCTTCTGTGGGAAAAGTATTGCCAGTAGGAGCTGGGTGCAGTCTGGACACTGTTGCGCCTGCTCTTCTCTGCCGTGTGCTGCAAAGCGGCAGCCTGCTTTCCTGGGGTCCTGATTCAGGGAGCAGGCCAGACTCCGGGTGGGGAAAGGGACGCTTGTACCCATGTGGGCAGTCAGTCTGTTTCCAGCCGTGGCGCCCCTGGCGTCTCCCAGCCCGTGTCCGGTTCGTGGTGCCTTTCCGTGGGGCTGCCACCTTTTCCTTCCTGCCCAGCAGCCTTGCCTGGCATTGCAGAGCACAGCCCATTCTGGAAGTGACGCCCCCGCCCCCTTGTGCCTTCCTTTTCCAAGCGTTGTCCATGGAAGCACCAGCGCACTATCCTTCACTATGTAAGAGGGCCCTTAAGATGCTTTTGACCCTTCTCAGGAAACAAGACGCCATGGATGTGGTCACCCTCAGGTAAGGGGCGGGGTCATGCATCCCATCAGCCCTGCAGGGGCCGCTGCCTGCTTGGGGACAGAGGCCCTGCCACACGGGGAATCCTCAGCGGGCAGCAGCTGCAGCATCCTCCCTCTCCCCAAGAGCCCACGCCTCCCGGACACCTGAGCTGTCTCTCCCGCTTCTCTTTGCTGAGGTTGGGCACTGTTCCCTTTTTACTTCGGGCCCTCTAAAGAGAGCTGTTCCCTGGCACGTTTGGACAGCACCTTTTGCTTTTCCCTTCCTGGCGGATGTCTCTCCGCTACCCTGAGCTGCAGAGATGGGGAGAAGCATCGCGCCAGCCAGGCCTGCCTAGGGTGCCCGCCTGCCGGCCCGCAGCCTCAACCGTGGCAGGATTAGCCAGGAAGGTGCTGAGGCTGCGCTTGCCCAGGGCGTCTCCTCTACCTTGCTTTTTCTTACGGCTCAGCAAATGCCTGCACAGCTTGGTCCACCTTTCCCTGCCGGCCGGCGTGATCGAGGCGGGAGTGCACGCGCTGGAAGAAGCGTGGGGCTATTTTGAGGAGGCGCTGAGCGTCCTGGGCAGCCCAGTGAGTTCTGGGGAAAGCAGGGCTGCTGCACTCATTCCTGGGAGCGGTCATTTGTAAAAACATTGCCACGCAACACCCTCAGTTGCGCTGGGACAGCCACAGGGCTGGGAATTCCTGGTGCCCGGGTCCCCTTCAACGGATGTGCGCGACTCGACCGTCCAGTGGCCACGGGGCCCTTTCTCAGCCCCCGCCCTCACCCCCCCTGCCCCAGGCAGCCACCCCGCAAGCGGCAGTCCTAGCAGCAGCTCGGCCAAGAAGCTCTGCTCACCCTCGTCTGTGTCTGCTGGTTGCAGGAGCTGCAGGCCGGCTACCCAGAGGTGGAGATAGTCTGGCTCATGACCCGGGCGTGGAACGCAGGCATTCAGCAGCTGTGCGGGGGCGGCTGCCAGGAGGCAGAGCAGTGGTGCGGCCTTGGCATGCGCTTCTTGGCTCACCTGGGGTCTCTGAAGAGCACCTATGAGGAGCAGGTGAGGACGGCTTGGGAAGGTTCCAGAGCACCCAGCGAAAGGGCCCGAGGGGGAGGGCGCCGAGTCCACAGCCTGCCCGGGCGGCAGGGAGCGTTCGTGCGCGAGCGGCACTCGCAGGGCTTGCCTGGGGCAGCGGGACTAGCCTGTGCGGGAAGCAGCGTCGCCCGTCTTTCCGTCAACGGCTGGAGCTCCGGAGAGGCCAGACCCTGCCCAGCCGCTTCACCTGCGCAGAGGTGTCCTTGGGCCGGACTCTTGCTGGGATTGGCCACAGTGCGCCCCAGGGTGCCTCTAGCAGCCCACAGCTGAGGTTCAGGCTGGAGCGGGCAAGCTGCTGCCCAGTGCCCACAGCGCCTTCCTTGGTGTCGGCCAAGGCACGCCATCCTCTCCCGCTTTCAGAAAGAATATTTTGTATACTTCCTTCCTGGAAACTGGGATCGCGTCAAACTGGCAGCGTCTCCGTGTTGCCAGTTTACTGTCTCTGGGCAGGTTATTTCTCTGACGAGCCATATCCATCCATGGGAGCCATCTTAGAGTTAAGCTGGGACAGTCCCCAAATCGCCAGATGTATCCACATGCCATAGAGTTTGCCCTTCATTACGGCCTTTGTCTGAACTGATGGGAAAGGCAAGATCGCGTCCATGTGCTTCCCTTTGCTGGTGGGATGCACTAGGCAGGCAGGCAGGCAGCCAGCAGGATGGTTTGGTTTCCCCAGAGTTCTCGCCAGCTGCCTAAACCAAAGAGAAGTGAGGCAAGGTGAGCCATTCGACTGACCTGCCCGTCGTCTCTGGGCAACATCTTCTTGCAGATGATTGGGCTCTATGGCGAGGTGCTGAACAAGCTGGACAGACCGAAGGGGCGCCGGCCGAAGGAGGAGTGACGGCACGGAAGCCCACGCGGCGGCGGGCGAGCGGGGCTGGGCCAGGGATGCCTGGGCAGCGGCACTGCAGCAGTGCGCGAGAACGCCTCGCTGGCCCTCGCCTCAGCGCTGCGCGCACCACTTCGCGATGCTCCCGGAACTGGCCGTTGCCGGTCTTACGGGAACGCAGCGCCTTATGTTTTCTAACCCAGCTGAGGCTCTCAGAACATGCCGCAATAAAATGGTTCCAGTCTTCATACTGCTTCCTGCGCGGACATTTATATCCCCGACAGACTGGCTTGGTTCATTCGCCCTGCTGTGCAGGGCAAGTGTGGATGCGGCTTCTCTAGCATGTGCAGGTGTACACCCAAGGGTCAGAGGCAGCCACCCTACTCGGGAGCGCTGGCGAGGCAGGGAAATCGGCACCCACGTTTTCAAACATCGCTGGGGGCTTTGGCCACGAGTCGTCATCCCTGCAATACTGCAGAGAAACGTCTTCCCAGCCTAGTGCGGTGCACTGACACGATCCATGCCAAGCACAGCGCAGAGGCTGGATAGAGGCACTTGCGGAACTGCTACCGGCGTGGCTCCACCAGCACCCCTCAGCTTTAGGTCTAGAGCACTGATGGTGAACCTCTTAGAGACCGAGTGCCCAAGCTGCAACCCAAAACCCACTTACAGTATATCATGGCAGTGAGTACACCCCTCACATTTTGTAAATATTTTATTGTATCTTTTCATGTGACAACCCTGAAGAAATGACACTTTCCTACAATGTAAAGTAGTGAGTATACAGTAGTGAGTATAACTGTGTAAATTTGCTGTCCCCTCAAAATAACACACAGCCATCAATGTGTAAACCGCTGGCAGCAAAAGTGAGCACACACCTAAGTGAAACTGTCCAAATTGGGCCCAAAGTGTCAACATTTTGTGTGGCCACCATTACTTTCCAGCACTGCCTTAACCCTCTTGGGCATGGAGTTCACCAGAGCTTTGCAGGTTGCCACTGGAGTCCTCTTCCTCTCCTCCATGACGACATCACGGAGCTGGTGGATGTTAGAGACCTTGCGCTCCTCCACCTTCTGTCTCAGGATGCCCCACAGATGCTCGATAGGGTGTAGGTCTGGAGACGTGCTTGGCCAGTCCATCACCTTTACCCTCAGCTTCTTTAGCAAGACAGTGGTCGTCTTGGAGGTGCGTTTGGGGTCGTTATGTCGGAATACTGCCCTGCGGCCCAGTCTCCAAAGGGAGGGGATCAGGCTCTGCTTCAGTATGTCACAGTACATGTTGGCATTCATGGTTCCCGCAATGAACCGTAGCTCCCCAGTGCTGGCAGCACTCATGCAGCCCCGGACCATGACACTCCCACCACCGTGCTTGACGGTAGGCAAGACACACTTGTCTTTGTACTCCTCACCTGGTTGTCGTCATACATGCTTGACACCATCTGAACCAAATAAGTTTATCTTGGTCTCATCAGACCACAGGACATGGTTCCACTAATCCATGTCCTTAGTCTGCTTGTCTTCAGCAAGCTGTTTGCAGGCTTTCTTGTGCATCAACTTTAGAAGAGGCTTCCTTCTGGGAGAACAGCCCTGCAGACCAATTTGATGCAGTGTGCGGCGTATGGTCTGAGCACTGACAGGCTGACCCTCCACCCCTGCAACCTCTGCAGCAATGCTGGCAGCACTCATACGTCTATTTCCCAAAGGCAGCCTCTGGATATGACGCTGAGCACATGAACTCAACTTCTTTGGTCGAGGCTTCCTTTTGGGACGACAGTTTCACTTAGGGGTGTACTCACTTTTGTTGCCAGCGGTTTAGACATTAATGGCTGTGTGTTATTTTGAGGGGACAGCAAATTTACACAGTTCTACAAGCTGTATACTCACTACTTTACATTGTAGCAAAGTGTCATCTCTTCAGGGTTGTCACATGAAAAGATATAAAATATTTACAAAATGTGAGGGGTGTACTCACTTCTGTGATATACTGTATTTATCACAAAGTGCCAACACTGCAATAAAACTTGAACAGAGGTTTTAGTTTAGAAAAAACAACTCGCAGCCAGTCCAAGCACACACACACACACACACACAGCAGTGCACTGACCAGCCATGCAAAAGCTTGGATGAGTCACCTGGCACCACTTCTCCTTTCTGAGCATGCGCATGGCCCCTCTGCGCCGCTATCCATCGCTTGGGTGCTGGGGCAACCTGGCCCGCATGCCAACAGAGAGGGCTCGGCTCGGCTTGCCTGCTGTGGCACGCATGCCATAGGTTCGCCACCACTGGTCTAGAGTAACCCCGTGGGAGCCTGTCACTTGGCTTCATGCTCAAGTGAGATGCACTCTTTCTCCAGAACTGGCACATCACCATTTGGCTGGGGCACTTGGGGAAATGTCGCGGGTGCCTCTATGCCAGAAAGAGGACCGCCCTCCGGGGATGGTTGAACAGTATCCTGCCTGCTGCAAGCGTTTCCCCTGGGCAGAAGGGTGCTGCCAGGTGGAGGGCTCCTCACACGGCGAGGTGGCGGGCTGGATGCTCCTCAGCAGTTTTGTTCTGCCTGGGGGGAAAAGGAGGGGACGCACGGGAGGGCTGCACCTTGGTGGTCCAACTTTGTATGTCCCGTGAGAAATGCATGGCATGAAGCAACTTCCAGCTCTCGAACCCACCTGTCTTCACCTGACCATCAATCGCCTCCACCCCTCTCCAAAATATGTACGGCGCATCAGAAAAGTGTGAGCCAACGAGTGGCAAGGCCTACCGTGGAATAAACCTTCTGCAGACAGGCTCATTGCAACGTTCTGTTTATTAAAAATATATGTCTCCTTGGAAGAAACACTGGTAAACCAACTAGTGTCATGATTGATACTCTCAACTATGCCATGGAGTACGAGAGGCCTTTTCTCCACGGGCCTATAGAAGACAAGGTGACAGGCTATTAGAAAAGAAAGAGTTGGAGCCTGGAGACCAGCTGGCCCAGAAGCTGCTCCTGGGGTGCACGGGGGCCTGTCCTTGTTAACGCGCCGTGCAACGCCAACCGCGCAGAGGCAGGGGCCGCCCCTCGCACACGTCGCCTTGCCCAGGGACTCGCGCGTGGCCGCAGCTCCCTCATCTTGGTTCTTCGCGGTCCTGCCAGCAAACAACAGCTGTAGTACTACCAGACTTCTTCTACTTGAGGTTTCTCGCAACACCAGCTTATACGGAAAAGCTTCTCGCTTACCAGAATGAATCTCCGCAAGATGACAGTTTTCACCCATATTGAACAATGAAGCCCGTGCACAAATCACACAATGAATGACGCAGCTACCTGCCAGCGATGGAGTGGGCAGCATCGCCCCCCCGCTACACTCCGAGGCCCGGCCCATCTCACCGGGTCAGGACCAGAGACACTCGGGTCTCCTCCCACAGCAGCCATGGGTCTCACTCTGTGGAAACCAGGTGTGCACAAATCACCAGTTGAGGATGGGGGAAAGGCGAGGAAAACGGACTACTCTCCCTCTCCCCCGGGGTAATAGGCAAGGGCTCGTACCAAACTAGGAATCCTGCAAACTCCTCCCAGGACTTCCACTGATCCAGCTGCTTCTCTTGGTGAGTGAGCAACAAGAAACTTTGCACCCAGACAGTTGATACATTGACAGACATTACTTAGATGAGCTTCCCAGAAGCAGCCAGCCTCAGTCCATGGAAGACTAACAGTCTATGCCTCGCCACAGAGCGCATTCAGCATCCCACTGGCCCTTTGCCGTCCTGACGCACACGCAGAGCTTGGCAGGGAGGCCGCTCTGCGGCAAGACGCAGGAACGCCGGGCAGGAGAGATGGCGCTCTTCTGTGCAGAGCCCGAGGAGGTGCTTGTTCAGGAAGGGCTTCGAGCGCTGCCACCCGAATTTGCCAAGCTCCACTAAAGATAAAGATTCCCAGAGAAACCCGTCCTAAATTCCATCGCACGGGCGAAGTACCATGTCCCTCCAAAACACAGCTTCTCTCCCCATTGCCTGCTGCTGCGGCCAGATTCTCACTGCACGGAACTCCATGGTTTTCCATCGGGACAAGTCAATGGGATGGAACTTAGTCTTTCTACAGGAAAGTGACCCCCTGCAACACAGAACAGCTGGTGTGCTCATTCCACATGGTCTGTAGGTTGGGCCTGGGTTTCGAATCTATTTACAATGGAACAACCTTAAAAAATAAGTTAAAAAACTGGATTGTATACCCGTTCAGTTCATTATTAAAATCAAAAGCTTGGTATAATGAAAAGCCAACACACCAACACAAACATGATTTTGGTTTAACACCAGCTTAAAAAAAAAAGAACCACCCTCTCATGCAAACACATCAGGTGACGTAAAAACAATGTGCAATTAATATGTAGCACTATCCATTTGCATTCTCGTGCTCAAATCAACTGCTGTCGCTTCACATGTGGATCTGGGCCCTCTGCTTGCTCCCTCGCGACGCCAGCTTCTCTGCTCTTTCCCAAGGCAGCCTCCTGCACAGGATTTGCTTTGGAAAAACCCTGGAGCAGCACCCAAATACACGTGGGACTGTTAACTTCACCACAGCCGTAACAGGCTTCTGTGCCCAACGGCTGAGGCATGGCAGCGACACAATTCCTGCACTAACAAAGTACCACTTAAGCAACCCCATCATGTTTTCTAGCCCATATATATAATATATATAGCATATATATTATATATAATTACATACATAGATAAATAAACGCATTCTGTTGCCTTCCCTTCAATCACAGTGCTGGCGATCACGGCAGTCCTGGAAACGCTGCGCAGGCGGCCAGTCCTCCGCGTGTCCGGGGGGGTCGCTGCCCAAGTCCATTGCTTCAGCAGCTAGTCCTCACCTGCCACCTCCCACCTGGCTTGCTGACTGTTAACTGCTGATTGCAATTTTTTAATTAAAAAACACACAAAACTCTCAAATGGGGTTTGTCTCCATTTCTAAGGGAGCCGCAGGAAGGTCCATGCAGGAGCGGTGGGGACAGTCACTGGATGGAGGATGGTCCATCTCAAGAAAAAGAAACCGGACTAGAAAACGCAATTGTCAACCATCTAAAAAAGGGAGAGGGGTGGTCTTCTTGCTCCCCCTTTTGGGGCAGAGGGCTAGGGGAGGGGTCTCTGGTCTTCTCACAAGTTGATTGAAGGGTGGGGACTTCACAGTTTCTCAGGGGATGGGACCCAAATATAATGCCCAGATTGGTCCTCTATTATCTGCTTGATTTTATTGTAAATCTCTTCCAGAGAGTCTCCTTGTACAATGGCTGGAAAGGAGAAAAAAGACGTTCTTTACTAGGATAGAAGAGGCATCCATCTAGAAAGCTCCTTCAGCTCTAAGCAGCAAATCACGTTTTCTGCCTTACGGTCTATCAAAAGACCATGAGGGTAATTGTGGCATCGAGCAATGACTCACTTCAAAGGAAAATCCTCTTCTTTCCTGTGTCTCTGCTTGTGTGCAAATGTCAGCTGGGACCAAGTGCAGAACAGTTTGGTCCTCAAAAGTGCTCTTCAAGCCAGTCCACCTCAGGAGCAGCAAACCCCCAGCTGCATTTGGCCTTGCATTACCTGCCCCCTTTCCCAAAGGCACCCTGGTTAAATCCAGCCAGCGAAACACCTGTGCCACTGCCAGGAACTGCGGAGCAACGGCGTGCCTTGGCTCAGAGCCAGGTGCTACCCTGTGTCCGGTGGGGCGGTCCCCCAGGACTGCTTCCCACAGCCGGGCAGGGCCATCAGTGCCGCCCCTCTGCTGCAACACCCATTCCACGGCTCAGACGCTTCTAGCCAGCGCTGGCTAGGGAAAGCCATCGCCTGCCGAAGGGAGGGAGCCAGCCGGCCTGCAGGTGGATTCTTCCCTTCACTCTGCTCGTGTTTTCCATAATCCAATTATGCCACATGCTCGACAGAACCAACCTGCGTTCCTCCAAAATGTGCTTGAAGCATCAGCGTCTTAAGATCCTCCGTGAACAGAGGTACCCTCTTCTCCAGCCCTCCCCTTGGCGAGGGAGCAAAGCGAGTCGTTCGATTCCTTTGCATGCCCCACAACGGAATGGAGGTGTACGGTGGTCCCGCACACCACCAGGCGAAGACAAGCCCAGGCACGCTCTCACCTGTAAAATACTCTCCAAACTCCTGCTCCAGTTTCATGGCTTTGTCAAACACCTTGTTTGCTTGCTCGTATGTCTGCCTCCGGTTCAGCTCCCTGCAAGAGCAAACAGCACCCCCTCAGCAGAAATGCACTGGAGCCGACCCAAGACCACGCATACCTCTGACCACGGTCTGGGAGCAGTCACAGCTCTGTTGGCAGGCCCTCAGTGAAACCCCAGGGCTCTACTCCCAGCCACTCCCCTCCCCCCCCGTGTCCGCCCCAGTGCTCGAGCCAAAGAGCTGCATCTGGCACGGGCACGAGCCATTTCGCTGGCCATTGCCCTTTCCAGCTGGGAGTCTCCAGGTCCTCCGTTTTCAGCAGAGTCTGGCTACCCAATGAGGAAACTCAAAGGCTGCCCTTCCTAAGGCAGTTCTATCAGGGCTGCTAGAGCCGTGTCTGCACTCCAAGGGGAAGGCAGGCAGCAGCCCCTGACCTGGTCCAGCCCTCTCGCTCCGCAAGGGCCAGAGGAGAATGATGGGAGCAGGGTCCTTCCCCCAGCCCCAGCCCCAGCCCCAGCCCCAGCCCCAGCCCCAGCCCCAGCCCCAGCCCCAGCCCCCTCGCTCCCTGGGGCCAGCAGGAATCCTGCAGGCCTTCTTCACCCTGCGAGCGAGTGCCTCCTCTTGCCCTGGCCGGCCACAAGGGTGGCAAACAAGGCCAACCAGCATCCCCGGCCCCCACACCACTCACATGAGCGCTTCAATGGATTTTGGCTTGATGAAAATTGCGACGGGGTACAGCTGCGCTTGCTGTAGCCTCTTGATCGCATTGCCAGACACATCAAGAATGCAGTGCTTCCCCTGGAAGAAAACAGGGCGCCTTTGCACAGCCCTTTCGATACGCCGGACCACCTCTCCCCCAACAGCTGCATCAGCAAGGCCACAAGTGATGGGGCTGACAGACCTCACACCCCGTGGCCGGCCAGCCAGCCGGCCGGCGAGATTCAGTGCGAACCCTCGAAACCAAGCCCTAAGCCCCGTCTAGTAAGGCCCTCAAAGGTGGCAGGCGTGTTGGGCTGGTCTAGATCGCTGCTCCAGAGCCTGGGCGCCGTTCCAGAAAGGGCCTCCTCCTCCGCTTCCACAGAAGCGCAACCCCACAACAACCCGGAGTCTGGCCCGAAGGGCTCCTGCCCCAGGCGTGGGCACCGGCGATGCAACTCCCTCCCAAGGGGCCACTGCCCCACTGGCATCCGGGAGCACGGCACGGCAACTCACCCGCTCCGCCACGGCCCGCACAGACTGAATGCTGGTTCCGTAGAGATTGTCGTTGAACTGCCCAGCTTCGATGAACTTGTTGTCTTGGATGTCTTTCTCCATTTGCTCCCGGGACACCATGAAGTGGTAATCCTGCCCGTCCACCTCATTCTCACGCCGGGGCCTGGTGGTGTCTGGAAGAAAACATGTCAGCTCCTTCTACTGCCCTGAGAGCACCGTGCTCCTCTGCACACAGAGCTCTCCCCACACGCGGGGAAGCAGCGCCGACCCTGGCACTGCAGGACTTGCAGCTAAGCGGCCGCCTCACGCCGTTCTGGCTCAGGCACCCGAAGAGCACCGGGGCCTGCAGCCACCGCTCAGCCGGGCCAGAGCACCTGGCCCGCTGGCTGCCCCTCCCCACTCGGGTGTCTTGGGACCCGCAGACCAGGGGGCTGCACGTACGTGGCACACAGGAGCCAAATTTGTGTGGGAACTCCGAGATGAGGTCGTCGTTGATCCGGTCTTTCATGGGTCCCAGGATGATCACCGGCCTCGCGTAGTGAACTGCAAGGAAAGCCACAAGCGAGCGCCTTAGAACCCTCTTCAGGCCAGCTCCGCAGCTCCAACCCGCACAGCACGCCAGCGCCCCGGGACCGCGCCCCCCGTGGGAAGGCAACCTCCTCCTTCCGCACTTACTCTCTTGCCGCGTCACAGGTTCGTAGGACAGAATCGTATCTTCTTGTCCTTCTGAAAGAAGCGGAGAGGAAAGGGTCAGCCCGTCCTCGAGAGCCGCCATGCCTCACGCCCCGGGCGAGGAAAGCACAGCACATGTGCCCTCGGCAGAAGACGCTTCTCTGTGGGGGCCAGAAGGAGCAGCCCCCCGGTGCGAGCAGCTCTGGGGCACGGAACCGAGGGTGTCCTCTCCAGCCCGGAGGCAAAAGGACACATGCAGCAGCCCTCCCCAGCCTGGGGCCCTCCAGGTGCTTGCGACCGCAGCGCGGCCGGTCGCCTGGGGAGGCGGAGGAGCACCAGGAGGGCCCGGAGTGCCTGCGCCAGCGCCAGCGCCGGCCACGAAGGCCTGACATGTGTCGCTCCCGCCGGCGGTGCTCTCCGACGCGGGGAAGCAGGGCGGGCAGAGGATCTTGGGGGCTGGATGCCAACGCAGGAGGCACTTACTGGAGCTGCTCTCGCTGTCACTGGTGTTCGATGTCACACCTTCTGTAACCGAGAAAGAGGCCCCGAGTCAGTGCGTGCAGATGGGACAGGAAAAGACAGTCGCCAAACACTGACGGCCACGAGAACCGGGGGTTGCGGGGAGAGAGGCAAGTCGCGCCAGGCGGGCGCACTAGCATGTGTGTTCCCAGTGGACATTCTGGCACGGGATTTCCGGCCCGAGTGGGATCCCAGCAGGACGCCCTGCCTCCCTCGACTGCTCATCTCCAGCAGGTGGACGCAGGGCTGCAGCACAGCCGGCAGCCTGCTCCCAGCCGGCTCCCTCTGGCACTTCCCTCGGATGCAGGCCTGCCGCTGAGAACGACGGAGCAGGAGAGGAGCGGTACAGAGGAGGGGGGGGGGCTGGCAGCACACGCAGGGCGAGGCAAGAGGCTGTGGGGCGAAGTCTCCCCAGCTGGCCAGTGCCAGGGAGGAGGGGCTTGCCTGAAGCGGCAACAGGGCAGAGCTCAAGGCCTCGCGCGAGGCGGGCGGGCGGGAGGGGTCCTAGCTCGCCTTCCGGGTCCCAGGCCGCACGAGGCCCTGGCTCTTCCAGCGTGGGCCTCTGCGCCGCGTGTGGGCAGCCAGCTGGCCTCCCGACCCGGAGCCGGCCGGTGTGGCGCTGCAAGGTGGCCGCACTTGGGCTGGGCTCGCGGGACGCGTGGCCACGTCAAGCACACCACACGCTCGTTCCCAGGCACACGCATGCCAGCGACGAACAGTGAACATGTGCAGGGAGAGTCGACTTACTCAGGTTCTTTGCGCCATAATAATCGTCACTTAACCCAGGGAAGTCCTGATTCACAGCCAGCCAGAAGGGGGAGGAGGAGAAGGGAGAGGAGAGAGAGAGAGAGAGAGAGGAGGAGGAGGAGGAGGAGGAGGAGGAGTGGGGAGGAGAGACAGAGCCAGGAGAGCATTAGTGACAGGAGTGCAGAATGGCTGAGAACTGCAACAGCAAGTGAAGTTAAAGCTCTGGACCCGTTCCTGCCAAGAGCCTCTGCAGACCCTCGGGGGCCTCCGGATGGCTTTCCGGCGCCTGTGCTCGGCCACCTCCCGAGGCACCTCCGCACCCTGGCTCGTTCCCGCAGAAGGGTGCCTGCAGGTCTTTCTGGGACCGGTGTTCCGTTTGGGGAGCCTAGTGTGTGTGCACCTCAGGAAAAGACCCATTCCGGCAGGGCCACTGGTCCCAGGGAGCGCCGCCGTCCCCAGCTGCCTGCAGAAAGGCTGAGGACAAAACCCCACGCTTTTCACACATCAGGCCGAGCAGTTCAGGGGTCAAAACAACAGGCAGGATTGTTCTTCTGAAACTATCTGTCTTAGGAAGTCAAGAGGCAACTTGTACCAAGAGGCGCAGCCCTCCAGCAACTGGCCTCGAGGCCCAGGCTGCACTGGCCACAGAGGACCAGGCCTGGCCCGTTCCCCTCCGTGGGCCTGCCCACGTGGGCCTCTGGCTCACTGCCAACGGCAGCCACCAGGAGGCGGCGCCCACTGCGGAACGTGTGGGCCAGGGAAAGGCCCAGCTCCACGGGCTCTGCTCCGCGAAACGCTTTGCATCCGCTACCGGCCCCTGTTCACTCGTGCACCCCAGCCGCGGTTTGTCCTGCACGCTGCCAGTGGCGACAGGAGAAGGATGGTACCCCTGTGGCACGGCACACGCCCAGCCCCTGGGGTTTCCACCGCACAGGATCAGAGAGCAGGGGGGAGGCAGTCACCAGAAAGGCCCTGCGCATCAGGAGCAGGCAGCCCTGGGCTGCACAAGCAGTCTGCCTCAGCAGAAGGCGAGAGAAGACTTGGAGGCTCAGGCACGGCCCCAGCCAGGCTGCGGCGCACCACACGCCAGGTGCCGCACAAAGGCAGACGTGCTCCGTCGGCGGTGCTGCGGCCGCTCCCAGCAGACAGCATTGCCTGCGTCTTCCCCGTGAGGCCGCGCATGGGAGGCGGGCCTGCGAGCGCCACCGCCAGGGCAGGAGACCGCAGCAGCAGGTGCCGCAAGCCAGGTGGGTTATGCTGGCGCGCATCCTCGCCCAACTCATTCCACACCCTGCACACACAGTGGGCCCTGCATTTTCACCCGTGGCTCTGGTGACACGGACGGGGCGGGGCTCTTCGGAAGGTCAGCTTCAGGCCACAAGAGCAGAGAAGGCAGAATGCTGAGCAGATGCTGGGAAACTAGGAAGAGGCGGAGCAGTCCGGAGCCCGGAAGACCCCCACACCAAAGGCAGCGTTTACAAGGGTGCTCTGGAAGCGTGACTAACACAGGGGTGGTCTAGAAGCAAAACTAACACAGAGGCGGCAGAGGGAAGGCGGCGGCACCGACTGGGGGCGGAGGGAGAAGCCAGGGGACTCTCCTGGAACCGTGGCGCTCATCACCGGGCCTGCTTCGGCGTGCCTTGAGGGACGGGGCACCGGTCGGCTCGTGTCGCCTCGGCACAGCCGAGCCAACTGCAACTAGCCCTGCGAAGGGCAGCCCGGAGTCCTGGGGAGCACGGCTGCAAAGGCCCGGGCTCAGCTGGGCGACACGGGGCTCGCTGCCACGCAGATCCGGCAAGGCCTCCAGGCCGTGGGTGCTGGGAGGGCCCCTCCGGGAGGCAGCAGGCTGCTTCTCGCGGTGGCCGCAGGGGCCTCCCACGCCAGACTCTGAGCAGGGCAGGTGCTACTTACGTTCCTGTCCGCTGCTCTCCTGCGCCATGTTCTCTTTGCTCTTGTAAAATGGGAATTTTCGGGAGAGGCGGAAACTCTTTTTACGTTTCGTTTTGATCGACTGTGAAGGTGAAGATGGAAGGAGGGGCAGAAAAGAAACAAAAAACAGAAACAAAAAGAACAAACAATGGTGTTTAAAGCATGCAAGAAAAATTAAAAGGAACAGACAATGGTGATCCGTGCCAGGGAAGCTGCCCCGCAAATGAAATCATGGAAGTCACACACGGATGGGAACGCAAGAGGAGGCTGAGCGCAGAGAAAAATGGGGTGCAGGGATGGTGGGAGATGACTAGCTGGTCCGCACATCCAGAGCAACAAAGGCGCCCCCGGCCCGCCCCACAGGCCACCAGAAGTCGCGCGGCCACGAGGCCCCCTCTCCGGCAGTCCCCACTCCTTCCGCCAGCTCTCAGCCGCTCCGGCGCATCGCGGCCCGGCCACAACATGGCAGCGCTTCCTGTGCTGCGGGGGAGGAGCTGCGGCCAGGGGGCCGCCACGGCTGGGAGGCACGGGTGCAAGGGAGCTGCTGCCAAGGAAAATGCGAGCCCCCGGATCCCCTCGTGTGGACAGCCCTCCGCAGCCGCTCCAGCGACAACGCCCGGGAGGCCTCGCCGTGCCACTTGCCCCAGAACGGGAAAGAAGGGCGCTCGGTGAGGAGGGGAGAGGCTTCCGTCTCCGATGTGGCCTCACGAGTCCCCACGCGTCCAGGCTGCCCCCACCCCTCCAGCCAGCACTCACCCGATTGGACTCGATCATCCCAGTCCGGGCATGGAATTTCACCGTTTTCAACCGCGCCCTCTCCTTCTTTTCCACTCTGATCATGCCAAGAAAAAGAGAGAGAGCCCAGCGGTCCAGCGCGGCTTCAGTCCCGCCCCGCTTTTTGCACCTGCTCCCTGAGACCTGCTCTCCTGCCTCGCGGAGAGAGTGGCTTCTGCTGGCGGGCGCTTCCTAAGGAAATGGCGGCACCGAGCCGGAAGCCTGCCCGCCCGAGCCTCTGGTGGGCGCTTGCTGGGACACCGGCCCCAGCGGAGACCCTCCCGGGGGGGGGGGGGCACTTCCCTTGCCCAGGGTGGAGAGCCCGGCGAGAGCTGCGGCGAGCGCTGCCCCCCTCCCAGGCCTGCCCAGGAAGCTGCCGCGTCACGGCCGGGGCAGGCGCTCACCTCTTCTTGCTGGGGATGACGCCAATCTGCTCACTCTCCCCGCGCGGCGTCACCAGCCTTGCCTGCCACCACTCATCGTCTGAGGCGTTGGTGACGTGCAGGATGTCGCCGTAGGAGAAGCTGAGTCCCTGGCTGGGCAAGCAACTGTCTCGCGCTCGGTCGTAGTCGAAGAGGGCCCTGCAGGAGAGGAAGGATGCCGGGACTGCAGCAAGCTGCCTTCTGCCGGGCTGGACCTGCTCCGGACGGCCTGGAACTGGTTTTCTGGGGTCTCCGGTGGAGGCCTTTCCCAGTCCTGCCCAACGATCATAAGTTCTGCCACTGAGCTCTGGCTCTTCGCTTGGGCAAGCCCTCCACGGGGGTTCCATCGTTGCTTCGGATAAGCTCGCATTCACACACAACTCCTCTAACCGGACGCCTTGGAACACACCCACAGATCACATAAAACGCACTGCGCACTCTTCCACTAACCAACTTTTCTGGTTCAGCAGGAGAGCAACAGGCTATGGCAGAAAAGCAGTTAGCAACGAGTTAAGTCCTCCAATTCAGGAAAGTGGCAGAGCCGCCTGGGATGTGGCACCGGCCGCAGGAAAGGGCTCCCTTCTGGCTCCTCCAGTTAGCCTTAAATCCCTTCCCTGGATAAGCCGGAGGGAACAGGGAGCAAGAGGCCCCACGCCCGGCAACAATGGCAAGCGGCACTTCCCTCCGGCCCACACCGCACGTGCAAGGCACGGCACATCTGAAGGCCTCCCGAACAGCCCCCTGTTCACACGAGCGGCTGACGCACACCGGCGGCCCATCGAGCCGAGGTCCTGCCACACGCCTCCTGCTGCTGATGGAGCCAAGGTGTACGGAGGAGCAATCGGAGGCCTCGGCAGCTTTAGCAGCTCCATATTCTGCAAGCTGAATGCCCCGAAGGACTTTTCACCCAGTCTTAGGCCCCAAACTACCTATAGCACAGTCAACAAAGTTAGTTCAGACATCGTGGGGTGTTGTCATTCCAGGAACTGCATGTTTTGCCACCAGAGGGGGCAGACTCAGTTCTGTTTATGAAAGCAATCGCCACATGCGGCTGTCCTTATAGGATCTTGGGCGCGCTCCCAAAAGAAGTGTCCAGGTCAGACTTAGGGACTCCATTCCCCTTCTGGACACAACGCCAAGGTCAGGACCTCTGTCAAGGCCCGATCACGAAGGACAAACCTGTGCAACGAGGCTTGTGATCACCACTACCTGCGGCACAGCAGCCCAGTCCAACAGTTTCAGTCAAACTGTGCTCGAAACTACTCCACCCGGAAGGGCTGGGCCTCCCCTCCCAGGCGCGCGAGGCCTTGCAAGACGCCGTCTCAGCCACAAGAGCGAGCCGGAGTTATGCAAGGCAGGCGAACACCTAACAAGGAGAAATCCCTCGTGCGTCGGCGATCTGCAATTAAAATGTATGTGGATGAGGTGAGGGAGGGGCACTCGGAGCACACGGACCAACGGCCACAACGGCCGAGCCAGTTAAGCCCCCGCTCTTCGACGGGCCTGCAGCTTTCGGTCACAAAGCCGGCTGGTGCTCAACACCACTGCAACTGGCACTCAAGCTGGACCACTGTGTTTTCAACCGCATTCTGAATGTGTGCGTACTGCTTAGGAATGTATTTTAGCCCTATACAAATATCGCCAATAAATAAAACACACACTCTCCATCAGCGTGCAGTCGAAGGGTGAAAGGGTGGGCCTGCTTCTGCCACCTTGCCTGGGCTGGGAAAGTGGTGGCCACCCAGAACTTCTGCGCCACCGTTTCCATCCATACCCGGCGGTGTGGGGCAATGAGAGGCCGCGGTCCGGATCCCCGGACAGTCACCAGTTTGTGGGCTCACACCTCTTCCCTGCGGGCCACGCACTGGACCTTCTCACACCGGCTCATCAGCCCAGTTCAGAAGCTCAGGGCAATACTCTGACTAAGCGCTTGCCCACCTTTTCCAGGCAAAGGAGAGGCCGTCCGTGGAGGCACCGTGCGCCCCAAGCCGGGCAGGGGAGCCGAGCATCCGCTGCAGCTCAGGTGCGCCTTGCTCGCCCACCCGCAGCTCTTTCGAGAGCGGCTCAGACGGCTCCCGCGAACGCCCATGTGTCTGCCTGCACAAAAGAACGGCCGTTCCACTTACCGGACGTAGAGGGACCGCTTTTCGCTCGTCCGAAGCGACCCGGATCCCGAGCTCATGCTGCTGTTCATCATCTGCTCTCTGAGATCATGAATCTTAGACTCAAAGCGGCTGTATTCTGCAAGCAAACCGTGGCGATTCATTCAGGGAGGGAACCGGCATGTAATTCACCTCTCCATCTAGGTTGCCCGTTCGGTTAAGGCGAAGGAGCGTCATGCGTTTCATCCAGACGGGACCGACGAGCCACCTTCCCCTGGACCGTCAAAAGGCCCAGCTTGGGAGACCAGGCGCTTGCTGTCAGCTCCCAGTGCCCGGCAGAGGACCAGGCCTGGCATGGACGTGCCACCTCAGCAGGGCCGCACACTCCTCCCCAAGAAGGGCGATGCGCGGGAAGGCATTAAAGCAGCAGCTGGCAGGGACCAGATTCCAGGGACTCGGCCCCCGGGCAAGGGGCCAATCTCCCCAGGGCAGCTTTGCTGAGCCCTGCACCAAGCCGGGCCTCAGCCCCCGGCAGGAACAGGCAGGCCGCTCTGCTCAGTAGCCGGCACCTGACAAGAGCAGGCTAGAAGAGAGTCGCCAGGAGGAGTGCCTTCATTGGCGGAGGATTAATTTAACATGATAGGATGAGCAGAGAAAGCTGGAAAAACAAACACATCCCAATGGAAATCCCCCGAGCACTGCAGCTACCCTCCCGATTCAAAACTTTCTGCCCTGCCTGCAGCCGGAGCAGCAGTGGGGGAAGACAAGCAAGCCCCACCCGCACGGCTGCGTCCATGGGCGGCTCGCCGTGGATTCAGCATGAGCCAAATTTCACACACTTGGGTATCCGGTGCAAATAAATGTTCAAGTATCTTGGCTTAAAAAAAGAAAGAAAGAAAGAAAGAAAGATTCGCAGTCCTCCTGCAGGAATTCACCCGGGGGCACTCAGCCTCCACGGGTTGTGAGCAACTTCTCCCTCACAGTCTCTTGCCAATTCATATTGCCCTCTTCCCGCCAACACAATGGCGCCGTTTCCCCAAAACCTCAAAATGCGGGTTCAGCAGAGAAGCAGCAGAGCTACTGTATGCACGAATAGAAGCAGATACCCTCATCTGTACTCCACATGTAAGAAAGGCACGTCGTCGGGATTCCAGGAGAAAGACCCTTCCCTACGTTAACCATGAGCAGCTGGTTTTCCTCATGCAAAGGAACGCCCTCCTGCTTCTGCTTCTGCTTCCAAACCAGCGTTGTGCTCCAGCATCCACTGGGCAGCTCCATCCTCCACCTTCCAGGAAGAACGCCCGGGCCGAGGGAGGGGCAACCTCAGCGGCTCGGCTGGCAAAAGGCGCATCACACTCAGTCCCTTCCCTGCCAAGAATAACACCTGCTCACACTCCCTGATAATCGCAGAAGCTGAACCTCTCGTTGAAAGGTATCTAGATGCAGCGTGCCACATCCTGGCTCCATCTGCCACATCATGCAAGTTCTTTCACTACCTGAAATTCCTCCCCTGTCCTTCAGATGCAACGTGACCTTCAGGTGTACGCAAAGGTCTGGATGGAAGAACAAGACATTTTTCCAGCTTTTTTCTCCCCCTGAACAGAACAAGTACTTTGTGAAGGTGAGACACTGAATCAGATTTTCCGAGCCTTTACACAGGAAAGCCAGCTACACAAATCTGTTGTGGAAAGGGTATTCAGAAAAATGCTAGTCTTGTGGCACAACATAATATATTTACTGTGACATACATTTTTATCCATGCATTTATTCATTCTATCTCAGTATTTATATACTGTCTTTCAGGGAGTTAAGTCCTTGCAAGGGGGGTTACATAAACCACTTAAAACATTTTGCAAAGGCAGAACAACCATCCACGGGAGCCTCCATTTGAAGGACACCCCAATACTGGAGGCGCCGCGGCCAGGCGCCATCCCCCTCTCATGCGAAGAGTGCGTTCGCCCTCCAGTGGGAGCTGCCCTCTCAGTCTTTCAGCTGCCAAAGGGGACAGACTCCAGCCGTGTCAACCGCTTCTCCGAGGCTGGTGAGACATTTGGAAGAGCATCCCTCTTGCTGACCGATGCGACAGCTCCTCTGCGCACAACTTCTGCCCCAAAGGAACCACCTGCCGAGTGTGGTCAAAGCATACTTTAAAAGAAGGGCCTGCTGCCCTGTGCCGCCCGACGGACCCGGAGCAAAGTGGGCTGCAGGAAGTGGCGCGGCCTCGAGCCACAGATGCGACAGGCGCGCGGCGGAGTGACGACCTGCGGACCAGCTTTTTGGGGTGTTGCCCAGCCACTTCCAAATCCCCAGGAGCAGCCATGTGGCAAGGCCTGCCCCCACAGCCTCAGGACACCCCTGCCAAAAAATTAGATGCCATAATGGAATAGGAGGCCGGCTGCTGCCGTCCACACGGGGCCTTCCTGGAATATCCGGCTGCAGTCAAATAATCCATGGGCCAATTTACTGGTACGGCAATCCTCACAGCCAGTTCACCCTACTTTTAGCCGGTGTGCTGTTGCCCCCGAAGGCACATGCCCATCAAAGCTAGCTTGTGAAGCTGCATGGAGGCCCAAAACACAGCGCACACTCGACAAAGCATTCCTAGCTGCACCTGTTCCATTAGGAAGATGTGCTACTGGCCCACAAGCCGTAGAGCCCACAGGTTTTAATGAACGCCTGCAGAGTCTGGTTCAAACGTTCCTTGAACACAGGGGGGAAGAGCTGACTGATCACACTGGCATCGTGCTACTTGCAGCATCCCAGACACTGGCCCTCTACAAGTTTGAGAAGACCAGGCAGTGGCACCTAGGAGATTTGCTCTAACATGAGGGTTACGGATCTTTTAAACAAAGAGCAAACTGAACCAAGGGATGACGCACAGAGCCAAATCAACAATGCTGACTGCAAGCAGGAACAGACCAAAACTGTGCCAATATGTAAACACAAAAGTTTGGATGAGATTAAGGCATCCGAATTAAAGTTACAGCACAGAACACGGCAAGTTGACTGACCCTACAGTCCTGCCCTAGCACCGGTTTCATGTGCAAACAAGAACAAGTTCATCTTTAACATCACAAGAGAAGCTGCTGTTCAGGAACACGAGTTCTCTCCCTGGCACATCCTCAGGCAAGAGGGTCCAGATTTCATCAGCCACCTCCCACCTTTCCAAGATGGCCACTGGACCCTGCCCTCCCTAGCGCTTGACCACATGACTCCATGACCACTTGCTTCTTCCCTCTGGGACCGTTCTTCCAGAGCAGCCTTCCCCAACCTGGTGGCATTCAGAGCACAACTCCCGGATTTCCCAGGGCCACTGACTGGGAATTCTGGGTGTTTCAGTCTGGAAGGCACAAGGTTGGGAAAGGATGATCCAGAGTGTGCATGAGGCTGCTAACCAATTAGCACTGTCAAATATTTACTATTCATTCGGAGCACGGCCATTACTTGGCATTTACTTAGAACATCAGCTCCCGAGAGGCTTAATGCCACGTAAGAACACTGTTTTGTTGTTTAACAAAGCTTCTTGCCTTCGCAGATGCAAAATGATTTCACCAACTTTAGCTTAAACGATTGAAACAATAAGCATAATGTCATTTTTGTATTTCCAATTACAGTTCGAAGAAAAAGATCAAATCAATGGAAGGTAAAAATAGTATTTTCATTGAAAAAGCAGCCAGTAAAAAGCAGATTCTTCCCTGTACCATGTGCGCACATAAAACGTGCTGCAACTGTGGCTGGCTATCACACACACACACGCTAAGATGCTGCAAGCTAAATAAAAGAATAGGCTCATGTGCCGTCAGTCATCACCAGCGCCTGACAGAGCAGACAAAGGAGAAGGGGAGAGAACGCAGAAAAAGCAAGCTCAGACCACACAAAAGGAGCCATCGCATACGGAGCTGTGTGATTGCTTAGCCCTCACATACGCACCTTTTCGCCATGCTGAGATTTGGGAGAACTCTTCGTCTTCTTAAAGAGTTAAACCCTTGAATTCCAGCAAGTCAGCCCATCTTTCACCTAAATTATTTGAGAATTATATGGCAAACGCATGTAGGGAATATTCTGAGATCTTAGGTTTTGGTTTTATTTGCTGTGCTAAAGGGAACACTTTTCTGCTGTATTTTGTTATTTGCTTCTGAGCCACTGGGATGGAAGCAGGTAATGGCCATATAAATTTAAGAAGGAAGAGAGTCAGTGTGGCGCAGTGGTGAAGAGCCTGGGACTGGGACTCAGAGGATCCGGGTTCGAGTCCCCGCTCAGCCATGGAGCCAACTGGGTGACTTTGGGCCGGTCACAGACTCTCAGCCCAACCTACCTCACAGGGTTGTTGTTGTGGGGAGAAGATGGAGGAGGAGATGTAAGCTGCCTTGAGCCCTTTGCAGGAAAAAGGCAGGATATAAATAGAAAAATAAAATATATACCTAATATAAATAACAACGCCAACTCACTATCAACCTTATCGGTAAACCTCTCGCACAGGCAATACAAGCCTTATGCAAAGGTACAAGCCTGAGGCTGCTTTTTTCTAGGCTTCACTGCACAAAGAAAAGAAGAGGAACTCCAGCCAGTTCTTGCTAAGCACTTTAAAACTCCAGCTGAGTCTCTGGATGCATTTACCCAGTGCAAGGAAGTGCGCTTCTTTAAAATGGGGGGGGGGAGGCTTCCCCACCCCTCCTCTTTGGCCTCTGTGCATGCGGCCCTCACATCTCTGAGTTGTAGAAGAACCCGCTAAACATAGTTTTTAACTATGCAAGAGGGTGACTTTGGGCCAGTCACAGCGCTGTTGTGGGGATAAGACTGGGAGCAGGAGAGCAGTGATGTAACTTTAACCGCTCTGAGTTCCATAGGGAAAAAGGTGGGATTTTAATTTTTTTATGATTATTCCATTTCGATACCACCCAGAGCAAAAGCTCTCTATAAATATAACATATTATTAGATATACATCTAATTAGATTATTAGATATAAATCCAATAATAGTGTTGCATACTAAGTGTTTGCAATAATTTCTTATGTAGCAATTGCAGAATTTATCAGAGACCTTCAGATTCTTCTGAGTCTTCTGACCCTAGTTCTGCCTTCAAGAAAGCTGGTGCCTGGCCGATATTTGTGACTTCAACTGCCGAGAGCCCCAGCCAGCATGCCTAACCGTTGGAGCGCTGAGTTGGAGGCTGCCAGGCTGAGGAAGCCTGCCCTAGATACGCATTCACTGGTCTGTGCAACTGGAAGTTATTTTTAGAATTAGCTGGCTTCTTTGCCCATATGGTCCCAGTTGATATTTCCTGGCAGCTTTATTTCCTGGCAGCATTTGTGTCGGCTTCCTCTAAGGAACTGATGGCAGTGTCCAGAGTCTTCCTATCTTTTCACAACAACCCTGAGATTCCGCATGGCCGAGAGGCAAACTGGTCCAAGCTCCCCTCGTTAGCGTCATGGCTTGCGC